TACAATAAATATTTCATAATATTTAAAATAAATGTTTATGATCTGTGCAATCTAAGACCACAAAAATATATAAAATATTTAAAATACATCTTATAAATATTTATAAATACTCTTTGTAAATATTTTATAAATATTGTGTGTTGTCTCTGGGATCACGATTCAAGATTCAAGACCATGCAATCGCCAACTGACTGGTCTCATTCACCGGTGATAAATTTATTTACTCATTTATTTATTTATATATAATACTTTCGCACAAAGTACCTAGCGCCTCTCGGATAGCCCTCTATTGTATTTTTCGAATAAAAACAATAAATATTTTTATTATAGTGGAGCGTCTATTTCGCATCTTTGCACGTTTTGTGTTCCAGGCACACATCGTAACAACACTTTTCTTCTTCGTCGCATTCATGATCGCTGTCGCAATGTTTAGGCGGTTTGTACCATTCGTAAGTCCTGGGACAGTGGGTTCTTAAGGGCGGACAATGCTTCTTTGGCTTCCACTTCGTCGTGAACTCGTGCCAAGGATGTTCAATGTGCGGGTCAGCGGCGATGCCAAGCCAAAGCCAGGGAAAAAAAAATGAATGCCAGTTGTGTTCCGACTCCGACTCCGACTCACCTTTCCCATTTGGGCAACAGTAATATCGATGATTGCCCATTTTGCACCAATATTTGCAGGATCTCAAGTAGGCTTTTGTTAGAATGACGAATAATAATAGGAGGCACAACGAGTTTCCACGCATGTCGAGGTGTTTGTGAAAGCGATGAAAATACGTCGCTTATGTGATTGTCAATTATTTTATTTGGCCTCGCTTCTAATTTTGGCTTAAAAAATAAACAATAAGTGAAAATTAATCAATAAGTGAAAAAAAGGACATATTCAGTCAAAGCTGATGTGTGTATGTTTAATTAAAAATAATTTCAATATTTTTGCGTGAACTGAAAATTATAAGATTCACGCAAAAATATTATTATAGGCACTAACATCCGCTTTGACCAAATATAATCTTCTTTGCTTATTTGTGTTAAAAAATAATATCAGTTATTTAAAATATAATAATAATAAATTTGAACAACAATACGTATTAGGAATATTTTATAAGCAAATAAGATTAATTAAATATAATTTATACTCAATGCTCTTTTATTCAGAAATGTATGATGATAGCATTGAAAATTGTAGTAATTATGAATTAAAGCTTTTCTTATTATACAAGACGCAACCGATTTTGTATTTTATCGCAAGAAACTTTAGAAATGTTTTCAGATTTTTCTCTCAAGATTTATACTTACTTGTGACGGTCCACGATTCAAGGTTTGTACTTATTCGACGGTCTACGATTCAACCGACAACAGCTCCTCGTTTAGCGTATCTTATACGTGAGGAAGGAACATGCCCCTACCTGGCGAAAAGGATTGTAAATCTACGACACCTCTAATATGCGTCCATCATCGACAACGAGCGAAGCACGTTTGTTCGTGCTTGATTTCACATGTCAGCTTTGTAAAGTGAGTCTCGCCTCCGATAGCTACTCGATGGAAAAACATTAAGAAATGTCAGAAACAAAGGACACGTCATATTCGCATTAGAACGGCCAGGGCCGAATCTACAAAGCAAACAAAGCGATTTTATTAGCGATTTCGGCCCGACCGGATTTGCACCAACCTGGATTAATGACGTTTCGTACTCTCCCATTGATGTTGGTAGAGCATGTAACGTCAATCAATAGTAGATCATTAATCCAACCCAGGTGCAAATCCGATAGGATCGAAAATGCTATAAGTTTTAACTCTAATGTCACAATAACTAATTAATAACTCCTTAAAACTTAAAGTCATTTATTTATACCCCGATTCTTCATATCACCTCGCTATCGGATCTCTCTCTCTCTCTCTCGATTAAAAGTAGATCAGAGATAAAATAGAATTCCCATATCTTTTACGTTTATTTGATGGACGAAATTTTAAATATTTTGCGCGTTTAACGATGATTAAGAGTAAATTATCGAGACACGATCCTCCGTGTTTTGTTAATCAACGGACCGTGTACATGCGACCCTGAAAACAGCAAGTTTGTGCGAGCACGGAAATTTTTCTTCCGCGATATTTCCTGGAGAACCCGCCTGTGGGACGTCAACATAATCACCGGCCCCGATCTACTTCATGCTAAGGAATCGTTTCCCCGACATTCGCTCATTACGAAGTGGCACGAGATAAAAACGTGCCCACCGCGAAATAGGATGACGGTACTCCATGCGAGATTCAAAGCCCGGCGAGATTCGATTTCTAACGCTGCGAATACGTGAGTATAGTGAGCAGTAAGACCCTTTTTACCCGTTTTCCTTTAATGTAACTTTAATCTCGATTCAATTCATTCTTCATCTTTTTCTGATTCTAAGAATCAGAAAAAGACATAAGCCGGCCCGGTTCCACAAAATGTAAGATTAACTTTATGCCTAAATTCTAAGCAGAATCGTAAGGCTCGTAACATATTCCTGTATGACTTGTAAGAATTTTTAAGTGCTTATACCTTTATACGATATTTTTACAGACAGCTTCTTGCTAACCATAAAATTTATAAGAAATCGTAGATATTTACGAATAATCGTACGTCTTACGATACATACGCATAAAATTAAAATACTAGTCATAAGGTCTTATATATACAAGTTTTACGAGAACACGTTACGAGTCTTACGATTCTGCTTAGAATTGACCCATTAATCTCGATTTAACTTACTATTTATCTTTTTCTAATTGTAAGCATTAATTAAATCTACAATTTTCTAATTTAATTTGATTTTCTAATTTTTTATAATAATAAATTAAACCGAGGATAAAGTTAATCTTACATTTGTGGAATCCAGTTCTAGTTGAACAGAGTAAGTTGAACTGAGATTAAAATTAATCTACATTTGTGAAAATAGGCATCGAACGTTGCGCTTCAATCACAAATGAGTGTGGGACTATCGCGTGCCAACGTTAATTGGTATTCAAATACGAGTTTAGAGCGAAATTATACCCATAATAATTTTTTCAGACCTATGATAAATAAGTAATATGATTAAATAATATTTATAGCCATTCATTTTTCCTCATAATATAAATTATAGTATTCTAGTATAAATTTGTTTTCTTTCAGAAAATTCGAAACAACAGGAAAATTGTAATTGAATGACCGAATTGAAGTTGCAGCGGATCAGAGGCGCGAACGATTCTCGAACTCTCAGCCAATCAGCGACGCGTATCTTGAACTTCTTTGTGCTAGTTATTTAGTTAACAAACGATCGCGGAGTCGGCGGTATACGAGCGACTCGTTTGTTTATTGTTCAATAATTCTCGAAAACCGACGCCGATCGTCGGTTTTGCGCACGAATAAGTGGTGAATATCGTGAGTGCTCGTTTCGCTCGGGATACGTGATAGTGTTTGCGGGAACATTTTGTCCATAATAGCAGCGACAAACGATCGAGGACGAAGAGAGGGCAAAATGAGGGCGACAAGGCGACTGGGAGGAGGGCAGCCGCGAAATCCGAAATTCAGGGAACGGAAAAAGACATCGGAATTGTTCATCGGTGAGTGTTTCAACATGTGACATTATCGTCCAATTTTATTCGTTTGAAAGTCGCCGCATGTATAATACATATTTCAATATATATATATATACATATATTGATATCATCCAATCCTGTCAAACTCAGTCGCTCCGGACGGCGGAGCTCGACATGATCTACCAAGTATTGTACAAATATGTTCGAAGACACGGAATACTTACGGGAAGAATAGGTATTATAGGCAAAGCATTTGCAGTTACATGTAAGATTTATGGATAGATTTGCAATTATCCTATAATATCATTCCGATTAATTTGGATATATAATTCATATTTTATGACAATATATTTAATTGATTGACAAAAACGTTGCATGAGAAGTCAGATATAATATAATAATATATATTACATATAATTTGTATATTATATCATAATATATAATTATTAATTATATACAGGGTGTCCCAGAATAACCAGCAAATATTTCATGTGCTGGTAGAGCGGACTAAACTGATTGAGTCGAAAAAGTCCTCTACCATTTCACAATTTTCGTAATAGTTAACAAGATGTTAATTACTAAAAATCACCGAATATTGGACTTCAATAATTTTTCAGAATTTTTTATTAACTTTTTAATACTGCATTTTCTTATTGGCAATTATTTTTACCAACATGAGAAAATGCGATACTATTAAATTTGGAAAAAATTCTTAAAACTCTATGAGAAGAAAATTAACAATTTTTGTTACTTGTTGTTTTTCGATAAAGTTGACAGTACTTGAGTAAAAAATTATTGAAAACCAACATTCAGCGATTTTTAGTAATTATTTAATATTTTATTAACTGTGCGAAAATTGCAAAATGGTAGAGGATTTTTCGACTCAGTTTAGTCCGCTTTACCAACACATGAAATATTTGGTTATTCTGGGACACCCTATATATGTATACTAAAATCAGAATATTCCATTTAACTGGACAAAAAGTAATTTTTATGAAAGCATTTTGATTTTCTTTTACTGTCCATTTATTTAATTATTTTGTTTGCCTACCAATTATTATTTGTAACAATTTTAGTTTTGCATTAAATACAAAAACGTAAAAAATTCGTCTGATTAGATATTCCGCTGATCTACATAATGATTTATGATCATGATGATAAATGCAGCAGCGTTTATATATATCTAGCATATAGAAATAATTGAGATGTTGGGTTTAATTATATAATATACTAGTATAACTGTGTGCTGTATTGCAATATATTGAGAGAACATAATACTTACATTGTGCAACAATGGTATAGTAATAAAATACTATAACATTATTGCGTATGTGTAATATACATATATTATAGTATATACATACAGATTATATAGAATCTGGTATAAATATTAATTTATATAGAATCTGGTATAAATATTAATTTCTCTCTAGATTGAAGTATCTTTTTAAAATACTTAAAAAGATATACTTCAATCTAGAGAGAAATTAATATTTTTTCATCGTTTTTTCTAAAAACATTTTTGTCTTTAAAATGCTTTTGACTTTAACACGGCTTACTTCTACCATTTTGAAGATGTACAACAATGTTATGTTATGCAAAACATTCTAATATATAACAACCGCGATTAATATGGAAAGACTTTTACTTTTTATCCATTAAAGAAGGATTTCTCTCATCTTTTAAGCGTTTGAAGGAAGTTTAAAGCTATCAGCTATATATTCGTGCGTCTGTCTCCTATAATTTTTCAATTATAAAATGGCGAATTCGACACACATGCATTGACTCCGCTCTAGTGCTGCTCTGACTTGGTGCGAGTGCAGAACTACTTTAGTGCCATGCCAAATTGCACTGCCAGAAACGTCAATGCAACATTTTTTGAACTCGTTCAGTTTATTTCTTTTTTTCTTTCTTTCTTTCTTCTGGTTTCCCCTTGATTGGTTTTCCGAGTTCAGTTCATTCAGTTAATCTGAATATAAATTCAGCACTATACTGAGTCAGTTTTCATTTGCCGAATACGACAATCTGAACGCACTAATGCAGTCTGCCGAATTCACTAAAAGACAGAACGAATATATATCAGTTGCACATGTTCAATTGGACACCAGCCAATCACAACGCTAAAAAAAAACTCCCTAGGTGAAAGGTGCTGTGATTGGCAGTGGACAATTGCAACAATGTGCAAGTAAACCCAGAGTTGTTAACGTTACATGAAAAAGTAACGAAGTTACTGGTTTTGTTACTTTTTTTTAGTAACGAATGAGTAACGTAGTTACTTTTCCTAGCGAGTAATAGTAACGGTAACTAATAGCATTTTCCTCGGCCCGATCGAGTTTGTACCTGGGTTGGATTAATCTTTCCTATTGGTTGACGTTACACACCAATAGGAGAGCACAAAACGCCATTAATCCAACCCAGGTTGGTGCAAACCCAGCCAAGTCGAAAACGTTATGTTACAATTTTCAGTAACGAGTAACGAAATTTTATTTTTCTCGTTATTCCGTTAATATAGAGTTAGAGTGAAATCACACGATGCGCGGAAAAGGAAATAGAGAATGCGTTCATTGAAACAACCAATCAGCGCTATTCCGCACTTTTCCATTAAGTTTTGTGTGCTATGTTCACATGGTCCGTCAAAGATGCATCCAGGATAATAATTAAAAAAAAAAGACTTTTTAATATTAGTGGACTCGTTTTGTCGAATCTTCGACACCGCCTAACAGACGAACATTTTGAACAATTGTTATTAAAGAAAAATTCAAGATTCAGGGAAATAAATCTATCATAATTTAAAGTTAAAAAATATTCTGCTATTTCTAATGTAAATTGACATGTATCAAAAGTATCAAAACCAAATAAAGAACTCATAAAATAAAAAATAAAATAAAGCTAATAAAATATAAAATAAAACAAAACTATAAATTGAAAAACGATTTATTTTCTTATGTAGCTATATTTATATAAATGTAATTATTTTTTGAAAAGTAACGATAACGCGTTCTTTTATAATCGGTAACGAGTAACGTATTACTTTTTACCGCAAGTAACGGAACTGTAACATATTATTTAAAAACGGTAACGTTAACAACCCTGAGTAAACCGCGGCTGACAGAAACTACTTGCATCCCAAATTTCTATAAATTTATTACACACGCATGTAATAAATTTTTTAAAAACTTCCCTACATTATCAATTATATAATTACAGTACAATCGTCGCGATACATGCTCCATAGAAATTTACATCGCGTCATTAATTACATTTGTTATATTACAAGCTACATATATTTTTATACACAAATAACAGAGATAAGAAAGTAGAATTGTGCTCTTATTAAAATAGTACTGTCAATTAATAAAAATTATTCTAGATAGATTTGTGCAGCCTTACTCATAATAACACATACATCTTATATAACATCTGAATGTTGGTGTATAATAAAGAAGAAAAAATGCTTAGAGTAAAAAGAAATATTTACTACTAATATTAATATACTATATGTAGAACACTTGCTAATTGAATTATTTTAGATCAACATGAATGCTTCTTTTGGTTCGTGTCGTTCCGTTGTTAATTCATTTATTATCATATCACAATATATATATTATAGATAAAATATTAGGATTCTATTTTATGTCTTAAATTGGCCATCATTTGTGGATTAATTGTAAAACCCTGAGTAGTCACTAAATTAAACAAATATAACAATACAGAGCTTCTTTCTCTTATACGCAGTTAAAGAATCTATAAATCAATATGATTTAAATATTTTCAGAATATATTAAGCTGATAAATATTTCCTCTTACTTTTATATATCCAAAAAAAATAAATTTCGTGATAATTCAATGATGTTACTTATTATAATATATAGTCTGGTAATACGACATAGGATAACTACAACTTTTATCTGTGGTCTTTTTCCATACTGAGCTAAATAATTTTTAATAACTAATTGTTTAATAATTGATTGTTTTTAATAACTAATTGTAAGTATCGTTCAATAACCATTTACATCTGCTAATTGTCTGTATAAATAATATCGGATTTGAATATATTAGTCTGTTTATGTATTATGTATATAGGAATGGAATAACCAATACCATTGTGAGATAATAATTTTCCATATGGTATTCATAAAAAATATGTCTTTGAATCGCGCTCATCGTAACAAACTACAAATTACAATTAATTCATGTTGAGGTCAATATATAATTATCTTACAATCGCATACAAATTATATTAAAAATCGAATTGCCAAGAATTAAAAGAAATCGATGAAAACATACTTATTGGTAAATAAATACGCTTGTGACTTCTTTTAATTCTGATCAATTTCATAGTTCACTATTAATTTATCTTTTAGGTTCAGTTGATTTAATTCACTTTTATTATTTCAATTGGAGTCATATATAAACTGCATTAATTTTATATAGAGAAAATATAGAAATTTTTTTTCATCTATAAATAAACAGAAGAATATATTTACTATTTACTATTTACTTTTCTTATCCATTTCCTAAATTGACTAGATAAAAAAGACCGGATTCGAATTCAACTACCTTTCTAGATACGTTTTGAAAATCCACCTTACAAAATTTAGAAAAAAGGTTAAGTACTATCACATTCATAAAATTTTATTATGTTTATAAAAGGTGCTATAAATTGTATAAATTATAATTTTGAATCATTGTAAATAACTGATGTATATATAAATATAAATAACTCCAATTGAAATTATATAGACCCAGATAGCAACGTGTCTGTCTTGTTGCTGGCATGTTGCTTGTTAATGTATGCGTTGCTAAGCATGTGTTGCTATCAGAATTGCAGTAACTGAGTCCTCATTTGTTGGCAACTTGATGCCTTCATGATATGATAACTTTGAGTAGCAACTTGCCAGTAGTTTGTCGATAACTTTAAAATCGTCATCATCAAAATTCGCACTACTGCCATCATGTTGCCATAATAATATGCAGCATCATGTAATGCTTTCATATTGCCGACAACACAAGATAACATTGATGCAGCTATCTTGCTGTTAAACTGCTGGCAATACATATACACATTGTTGCCTGTGTGTTGCTACAATGTCGGTATATTCAAAATCGTTCAAGACAAATCTTTGGCAAGTTGCCAGCATCATAAGCAATCACAGATTTGTATGATTTCGCTGAGACACGCTTTGCTATCTGGGGAGATGCTCAATCACATTTAACCATAGCATGCGGAAAATGTTTCGTTTCGTGAAAAAATAAATACACTCTGTCTCTAAGCCGTTTGTCACTTTACCTTCCGATACACTCGACCCCATAGTTGTCATGAATGACCAAAGTCTCGTACTCCAGATAGGGCATTTCTTGGCCATTCAACGGTATATAACACACTTGGTGATTTGGTTGTATCTTGCCGATGTGATAGATTCCTTCGTGCAATATTCTGCCGACGAATAAAGCGTAACCATCCTCGGTTTCACCGGCAGGTAGGGCATGTAGAGGCACGCTACCCTCCCAAGATTTTACCCAATTCACGTCTTTACCACACAACACCTGGAATTCTCGTTTCTCGTGGCCATTTCCGCCCCATGCGATTGTGCAGACGTTGTCGCGAATTCCACCCGGGGTTACTGTACCTTGATGATGTGCTCTACCGATGTACAAACCATCCTCAGAAGCCATCACTGCGTTCCGAGGTAGTCCAAATGCCTCACTGAAATCCACCCAGAAGTGACACGTGTCCATCAGTTGCTGTCTGATAGCAGGGGATGTAAACTGGCATTCTGGTAGAACGAGTTAAAAAAAAAATTATTGCGTTTCTTTCACGTATATTTGGATTAATCCATATAGGACATTAATGCACATTACAAACATATTTTATTACATTACAGTTCAGGAATTTTCAATCTTAAAAGACTAAAACAAATTCTACAGTGAATCTATAATGAGTTCTGTTAACATACCTTCAATTATCCATTCTCCGGTTGCACCCCAAGCAGTGCTAACTCCTATGTAATTTATGACAAATGGGCTTCTATCTTTATAAGACATGAACGGCATGTCAAAATCATCCTCACGACTAACACTTAATAGTCCATCGCAAGACCATCTGTAGAACAGAAGCAAATGAGAGATATATGTGTACAGTTTTGTGTATCTAAATTCATCTTAAAATTATATATATATATATATATAAAATTTCCTTCATGTATGAAAATATCACATATCTCATCAGGATTCAGTATGTCCCTAGTGTCTGCTTCTGCCACATCTGGTTCTGTATTATTTCTTTTTATCGCCGACATAGTATTTCCCCATCCTCCGATAATAATCTAAGATAGTGCCAAATTAATATTATGTAATTAGCCCTTTGGCTCATAGCCCTTCTATTTTATTATTATTAATTTGTTTCTATTGAGCTATATTATTACTTATATATTTTAATATTATGTAATAAAGAAATTATTTTTATTCTTTAAAAAATTATTAAAGTATGATGCGTAAAGCACGTAAACCTTGCAAATTATTGCATTACCTCATATACATTGGAGTCACCACCAAGATGTGTCCGTAAGGCAATCCTTGCATCGTGGCTAGCTTTAATGCCTAAACTAACGCTGTTTTTTGTGATAGGTATGTAACGATAGTCGAGACTGTCCGCAGTTGTAATTCTGACTAGGAAAGAATTGTCAATCAGTACGATTGGTCAAGAAACTATTATTCTTTTTTGTTGAAGCTTTAAATAATTATGAGATATAATTTATAATGGAACTCACTTGGACTCATTTTTTGAAAAGCTAGATTTCTTTGAATATACACAGGAATCAATATCAAAATTATTCATGCTAGTCATACACAGTTTGTATTCCCATGGTGCTGTGCTGTCCACATCTCTGATGAATCGTTATCTCTCATTATCTCAATTGGTTTATCACTTAAAATAAATAGTTACATTAAAATTCCATGTACAAACATATTGTTCGCTATCGATGATTATTACTGTGCCATAAATGTAGTGTAACTTTTATGATTGCTCTCTCATCTATTCCCTTCGAAAGATGCTTAGTTCCATAAAAATAATATCGCTGCGCTTGGCTTAGCGTCGAAACACTACCGTGTCTCTGGATAATGCATCGTCATATGAAACGAGTATAGGAAATGAGTATAAATCATATGCTATTAAAGACGCAATAGCATATTCATGCGATCGTGAACTTTTACATTTTAGGAATGTCTCAGGTGTGTGTATGTGTGTGTGTGTGTAGGTCAAGTCGGCGCGACGTGCCGAGCAACATAACACTGTCCGAAATTATGCAGATGATGCAATCGAGCACGTGCACGATCGTCAAGGTGTCAGTTGGTCCAGTCGCTCGCTATCTCGAGTGCAAAATCTGGCAAAATCTACACATCTGCGACTTACTGATAGGCATGACAGCTCTGGCTATACGTAAATATCCACTGGGAACACTTGCGACGTGATGCGAAGAATGAACGAGTGATCCTATCCAATCGAGAAGACGCGATCATGCGGTGATCGCGTCGCGAATCGCGAGTTCTGTGATTTTGTACTCACAATACTCACATTTTTCACACGGATGGACGTCCCACTATCTGACTACCGTTGCCGTTGCGTTTGGATTGGGAATGTTGTGTTGGAAGTTGGAATGCCAACAACGTCGCGATTTTGTCGACGTATCGATACTTTCATCTCGATGTTTCAAGCGATTAGCATCAGTAGTTTTCGCTCTCTGCTGTAAAATATTGATTACTCTTGTCACATGTATCGTCGCAAGGGCTCGGTGATACATTAATTATTAATTATCATGATATTAGAGATATATCAGTTTATATGATATTAGATTACCGATGGTACTGATGCAGTATCCTGCTTGAAATAAAATATCTTCGGGTTTGCGATATATCGCGCGCCAAGTTAAATTCGGAATTACAGACTTCTATAGAAGTCTGTGTTCAGGATGTTGCATGACATACATAATTGGCCTGAAGATACGATCGCATCAGCTACTTTTTCTTGAAGGTCAAGATTTTACTTGCATCGGTTTTAAAGAGAGTTTCATGCTCAGAATTAATTGCGTTCGACTTTCCATTCTGATTTTACTTTCTGTACACTATGACGTGCATGAATACTACACGGTGTTACTAAGAGGTCATAAATTATTCAATTCTTAATTATGGGAAACGCAATTTTAATACATATCTATAACAATAAATATATAACAATGCGTAATCATAATTAAATTAATTAAAACAACTGCTTAACTTTTATCAAATATACATAATTGCTCACTTTAGATCTTTACGTTAAATTTTTGAGAATAATATTTATAAATTATTTATTTATAAATTGATACGCTACGTATTTTTTTGCATGTATGCATCACACAAATAAATCTATCCAAGTGTTACACTCCGATTTTAATAAGCCTTGAATATGTTGTAGTTCAAGTCAAAGTAAGAGACACACATATTTTTTTATATGTGCTCTTATGACCGTTAAGGGGGTGAAACACCTTCTTGAAAAAAATCAATTCTGATATTTCCAAGTTACTTACCATTGAAACGATAAAAGATATAAAAAAAGTTTCAAATAAAAGTTTTATGATTTTTAATGTACTTTATAACAGTTCACTCTGATTTTTCGAAAATGTCATTTTTTTAAATTCCCCTCCCTCCACGATTTTTGAAAATTTTAAAATTTGTCTTATAGCAAAATTTAAAGTACATTTGTCGACAAATACAACCATGTACGATAAATATTGTTTCGCGAAGACGCATTTTTCAGAAATAAACTAGATATACCTTCATATCGCTGTTCGCGCGCTCCATCCGTATGCATGGCGCCTATCGCTATGCTTGTTTTTTTTTAATGTTTTCTCTCATATAAATATATTCTAAATGTTATGATCCTTGCTTTTTATACATATATTTTTTTAATTAAAAATTTTTAAAACTTTTTAAAATCTTATTACATATAATATTTTTTTGTTTTTTTATATTAAGTATTATATTTTTTATAACCTTTTTGTAGGTTTAATTTTATTGAATTTTTTTATTGTTTAAAATCTATACAATAATGAGAATGAATTTTTAGGATCAAAGAAATACTGTATGCACTTTGATTTTGCATCAAACACATTTGAACATTGCTTAAATATGCGTATATAAAAGTGGTTATATTGAAGAGAAACCTAAATGCGAGATACCAGTAAATTTTTGTTTTAAAAATTGTGAGTATCGGTGACTCCTGTCACGATATAGTAATTTTTAGATGTGCTTGGTGCACAAAATCAAAATACATACAGCATTTCTTTGACCTCAAAAATTCATTCTTATTATTGTACAGATTTTAAACAGTAAAAAAATTCAATAAAATTAAACCTACAAAAGCTTATAAAAAATATAATAATACAAAAAAAACAAAAAAAAACATTATATGTAATAAAAATTTTAACAATTTAAAATTAAAAAAATATATGTATAAAAAGCAAGGATCATAACATTTAGAATATATTTATATGAGAGAAAACATTTTAAAAAAGCAAGCTTAGCAATAGACGTCATGCATACAGATGGAGCGCGCAAAAAGCGATATAAAGGTATATTTAGCTTATTTCTGAAAAATGTGTCTCCGCGAAACAACTTTATCGTACATGGTTGTATTTGTCGATAAATGTGCTCTAAATTTTGTTATAAGACAAATTTTAAAATTTTCAAAAATCGAGGGGGGATCGAAAGGGATTTAGAAAAAAATATGACATTTTCTCGAAAAATCAGAGTGAACTTATAAAGTACATTAACAATCACAAAACTTTTATTTGAAACTTTTTTTTATATCTTTTATCGTTTCAACGGTATAAGCTTGGAAATATTAGAATCAAATTTTTCAAGAGGATATTTCATCCCCTTAACGACCGTAAGAGCATGTATAAAAAAATACGTGTCTCTTATGTTGACTTAGACTATAACATATTCAAAGCTTATTAAAATTGGAGTATAACACTTGGGTAGGTTTACTTGTCAGTATACATTAATGTTATATGTGTATTTTGATTCTTCAAACGCATTTTTTATATTAAAAATAAAATAATATATAAAATTATAAATAGATAAAATTTCATCTAGAATTCTGGCTCAAATTATAAATCATCTAAAGTCTTAATTTTAATTGCATATACTTAAATAATAAATTTAAATGAAATTAGAAAAAAAATCCAATTTCGTTTTACATATTAATGTTAATATCATGTGCATATTTTCTTTCTTTTTATGTTACAAATGAATTAATAAATAATACACATATACATATATCGAACGTGATGCACATTTACACACAAATAGAATCGTTTAAAAAAATACACATTTTATATCAAACGTTATTCGCGTACTAACGTTGCATATAGTACGTATGCAAAACAATAGAGACATTGACATTTACATTCAACTGCCGGGGTTATTGCCGTTCAAGTATCTATTGAAATACATCTGATTAACTTAGGATCAGTGTGCTTGAATGAATACATGCGAACGCACGTGCGTGCGCGGAAAGTAGAAAGCATTAAAAAGGACAATGAGCAAAACTATAAACGCTGCACAGGTGTACTTAGACGTATACGTACTATTCTGACTTCCGTGAATAAGTGGCAAAGAATTGTAATTTTTTCTGCTTCGTTTACGAACTTTCAAGCCAACTGTACAAACTTGCAACGCTGCGAATACATCTGGTACGTTCATACGCACGCGAATTGTTTCGAGCAAGATTTATTTCTAATGTACTCTTTTATTTTGCAATTTATCTACTAGGGATAATATTGACATTATCTCCATTCAGAAAATGCAACACACACACACTATTGTAATATTTTTTAATATAATTGCTCTTAGTTTCTTACTGGTTCTAAATGCATAAATCAATCATATTAAAGAATAACAGTTGCAAAGCTGCTTTTTCTGTTAAACGCTATTATTAAATTTTACTTTATTTAATTTGTTTAAGATCATAAACTCTATCCCTTTATAGGATAATATAATGATTTATAATATCCGCGATAACATAAATATAAAGTTATAAATGTAAAAGATTGATATGTTATTTGCTGTAAATAATAAAAAGAAAATTAAATGTTTGTGAGTGGAAATGTACGCTTTCTACAGTAAAAGTTTCAAACCGTGAGAAATAAGGTTCTCACATTAGATTTGCTATATTTAAGGGAATAGCAAAAAACTTTCTTTTTCACATAGCAACATTTATTATTCAAGCAAGACACTCGGTTTACGTACGTATTTAAAATATGTTTAAAATATCCTTCGGTCGGAATTTCAATTAGTTCAACTTAAAAATTTCCGAAAAACCGTATATCTAGATATCCAGATTAAATCAAATCGATAACACGATAAGCTTACGATTAATTAGAATACAAATATATGAATAATTTATTATAATATGTAGATGAAATTTTTATATTCAATTAAACAATTATAATATATCTCTCTCTCTCTCTCTCTCTCTCCATTGCTATATAATTGAAATTGAAGTCATTTCTGATATAGTAATTAATAATAGTTTTATATCTCGATATTATTTCTCAGTTAAATTTAATTGACTTTATTTCAAATAAAATGGAATACGCATGATACAATTTTTAAATTATTAAAAAATATGTATATTTATGCCTTATAGGAATGATTTTGATTATGCTTTCTTATATTTTTTTACAGTTTATGACTTTTTGATTACAACATCTAATATTTTCTATGCTACATTGAAGAAATAATATAGTAGATACTTGTTGAGAGTTAATTTCGTTAATCCAAACTTGCAAATGCATAGCAGATTGGAAATAGCACAAATCATATGTAAATTATGCATTTTATTGCTGTACCGAAAGTTTTAGCTGAGAAGATATTTTTAGGCAATTATAAGATCGACTTACTCATTACTATATCGTGCAATCAGTGATGTAAAGAATATTATAATATAGCTGATTATTGCAATAGGGCAAAGGCGGAAAGACAATCCTTCCTAGATTTATTTCATGCAGTCTTCGTGCATTAGGTATGTAGGTGGGTCATAATACTGCACCTTACAGTTCATCGTGCAGTTGCACAGAGAAATGACCCGTTGCTTTCCCTGTAAAAGCGAAGAGCTAAATCAGGTTGACTCGTTTCTCTCTGCTCTGTATGGTCGGGTCCCGACCAATGTCACATCAGTATGTGCGCACCGAGATCGCTTTTACCTTTTCGTAAAGCGAGGGAGTGGGCTGCTGGGGGTATAAAACAGAAAACAGCGCTTTTGCTAGCCAATATGTGTGTAGTTCCATTTTAGTAGACACCAGAAAGGTGTTTAATTCTTGCTTAATTGACATTGAGTTATTATTGAAACGTGGCGAGAGTCAGTATGCTGTTAGTAAGTAGACACCAGTTCAATTTACAAGTGACGTCTGAATATTTCGGAAAACAAAGTTTAGCACATTTATATCTCACGCGTACAGAAAAATAGCTGTTGCTAAGAAAAGTGATTACTCAGTTTATTTTTTTTTTAATGAAAAAAATTATTTAACAAATAATGTTTTCTTTATAACAGTCTAAAAATATATTTCTTGTAAATTTTAAAAAAACTTATTATTGTGCACTCAAAACAAGAATTTATTTTCTTTTGAAGAATATTATAAAATTTCATCAAAGAAACGACTTTATACATGTAATAAGCAAATTAAATTTGTTTTAATTTGGTAATCTTGATTGAAGTTAAACTTTATCAGAATGCAGAATACATTTTAAATAAATGATGCTTGTGATGAACTTATGATGGATATATGAACTTTTAAAATGCTTGAAACTTATTATTAGTAATTAATATTTAAATACAATAGATACGTATTTTTCTGTGTTTAATATCGCGCGTTATATTAAATGTCATTTGTGCATTTAAGAATACATAAAAATGGAAGAAATCAAAATACTGCATTCTTCTTGTGTAACTATATTTAATCAATTACTCAGATTTACGTAATGTACTATTATTATAAGTATATTGTAGAAGAGAAAGTATTTTGAATTAAATTTTAATTTATTATTTCAATTTTAAAATTATGCACATTACTTTGCTTTCTGAAAGAAATTTTGATTTAAATTATTGGAATAATTTGTGATTATAGCCGCAGTATTCTTTTAATTTTACATTAGATGACATGATGATTAGTTTCTCATGATGTAATTATCTTTTCAGAGCGCGGTGGTAATTTGTTATTGTACGATAGTTGCAAATGCAGAGACGCCTCTGAACAGTATGTATTGTTATTATGTTTCTTTTTATATTCATGTATCTCCGTAAAAATTTTACATTCATAACTAAAATTAGAGTTAATTTTATAAAAATAATGCGACACTATCAATAACACATTATTTTTATAAAGTAACATTTTTTGTAAAAAGTAACACATTACCGTTATTGTTACTTAGAAAGTGATAATTCGTTACTTTTTTCGTAACGTAAAGTTAGATATTGAATTTAAAAATTACATTATTTAATAATCAATATTAAAAAAAACTCTAACAATAAGTCAATTTTTATATAGTAAGCTTTTCTCTATATTAAATTTATGTAATATAAATTTTCTGTAATTCTTCATATTAATATTTTTATTATTGACTATATATTTATTTATAAGAATTTACATTCATAAACGCAAATTTTATTTTAAAAAAATTTCTAGTACACGTTATATGTATATTACTGATTTTTAGTATTAACTATCGGAATGCCTAAGATATATAAAGTATAAAATATTTTTTAATATTTAAATTTCTATTTAAATAAAATATTTTTATTCAATCAAAAATACATTTTATTGAACAGATATTAAAAAGACAACAGGAAATTAAAGTAACAATAAAAGTAACGGCTGAATTCATTACTGTAAAATATAACGACGTTACATTTTACCATTATAAATAGAAAAAAATAACAACCGTTATCTTAAAAATGTAATGATAACGGTAACGATGTTACAAGTAACTCGTTCTCCCCGACTCTGACTAATTGTAAGATTAATCACAGTGCTTTCCGGCAAGCATCAACTAACAATAACATAACTGTCATAATTTCTCGTTGAACAATATAACTGTTACGTGTACATAAGCTACGTGTTATTAATTATATTATAGTATGATATTGTTGAGTGAGAAATTATAACTGACAGTTATATTACTGTTAGTTGGTGTTCGCTGAGAATTCAGAACATTGGCAATGTATTGAAATCTTCAATTAGAAATAAATTGACTTCAATCTAAACGCCATTTCGTTTTGTAGGCTACTCTTTTACTGGCGGTAGCAATGGGTACGATTACAGTAACACCGTTACTAGTAATGGATACTTGGGATCTAAGGATAGCTATCGAAACGGTGGAAGCTTTTATGGTGTTGGAGACATCAATCACAAATTACCCAACCATGTCGGCACTCACTCGTTAATTAACATCGGTAATCAGGAATATCAAAGTAGTATCGGAGGAAATGACGCAGGAAACAGTTATAACGGATATTCCGCGAACGATCAAGGAAATGAATATGCAGGATATTCCAATAATTATGAGAATTCCGCTAGTGAATCTTACACTAAACCCACTTATCCAACGTCTTCACCACTCAGAGGATATATTGACGCTAATAATAACGGGGAATCGACTTTTAACACGTACACAAGCGATTCGACTCATAAAGACTCTGATGTTGGTCAATACGCGGCTAGTAGTAGTAGTAGTAGTAGTAGTAGCAGCAGCAGCAGCAGCAATAAAAGAATACCCGCTTATTCCGGATACTCCAGGCCAACCCGGATATCAGACAATTATCCTGAAAGTTCTACTATTAACGGCGTACAGGGATATCTCGAGTCGTCCGGCTCTTCAAGTTATTCCGAAAGTGATCACATCTACTCGCCTTATTCGCCAGGTGGTCTGACTAGCGAGTACTCGTTTGGAAAGCAGAAAAACGACCCATTGAACTTGAAAGGAGGCAACAAGTACAGCGGCATTTACTCGATTTCATCTGGAACGCGTTACACGCGGGGAAATCCTGTGCACGTGAGCTTCAATCGCGACGTACCGTCGTTTATATCAGGAGATTCCGGGTTGAGCAGTCACTTTCCCAAGGCACACAATACTTATTCTTCGGGAAAATTGAATAAACACGGCTACAAATTATCTCGTTACACTCCGAATAGCAGCGCAACTTATGTGTCGAGAGAACGCGATGGCTATTACACGCCTTATGGTAAGGGTGGTGGGAAAGTTATTATAATTAAGAACAACAACCCGAATTACACCGGTCGTGTTTACTCCGACGACCCGCTTTACGCTGGCAGTAACGGTGGTTACAGGAGTAAGAGTGGTTTTGCCAATGGTTTCTCTGCTTCGTCGAATTTTGATGGATACACTGGTAGTAGTAATTACAATGATGGTCCCACTGTACTCAGACGATACAGGGCCAGTGGTGGTCCTGTATTTGTGCAAAAGTCTGTTAACTTCCAAGAATAGCTTTCGATTTAAGATCTTATTTAGAGAATACAGTGCATACGTTAATATTTAAGATATCTGTATATATATTTATTTTGTAAGTATTTTAATAAGCATTTCTTCAATGCATTATTCAGAATAAAAGTATCTATCTATCTTTCGTATATATCCAAATGGTTATTTATATTATTATATTTCCTTTTCAATTTCTCATATAGTATAAATACTTTAATAATATTAATTATAAGTATTATGCAGGGTTGGCAAGTAACGCGTTATTTATAACGTCGTTACCGTTACAAGTTACTTTTTTCGATAACGAATGGGTTATAACGTTACATTTTCTTCCGAGTAACGTTCATTGTAACGCAGTTATATTTTTGAGGTAATGGATTTCACTAGTTACTTTTATCGTTACTTTATTTTTAGCAACTGTCACAAAGTTTTCGATGTAACTAAACCGTGTATAAATATTATATATATATATATATCAGTTTTTGAGCTTTATTCCTCTATTAAAAGATAAAATTCTGATTTCTCTTCAGAATATTTATCGCAAAAATCTACATATAGTAGCGTTTTTCATTGACAGAATTAGTGCGCACTCAATGCAATTTAAATCCGTACACACAAATCGACGCAAATGTGTATGTTTAGTAAAAATATAAAAACGCGATAAACCGCGAAAAAAGTCTTCAATATATTTTATTATGTTATTTGATAAAATAGCATAATAAAATGTATTGAAAATTTTTAAATTAAATAAAATGCCCTTTGGACATTATATCAATCGAGATATTTTATTTTTACATTCATTTTTACATTAGAATAGTGTACAACGGTTTTAATGTGCACTGAGTTTTGCCAATGAAAAACGTTATAATATTTTTGTTAGCATCAAGCAAAAAAGTAACGAAAAAGTAACGATTCGTTACATTTTGAGTATCGGTAACGGTAACGAGTTACTTTTGCAAATCAATAACTACTAACGATAACGAGTTACTTTTGGGGAAAAGAACGGTAACGGTAACGAGTTATTTTTATGGGGTAACGTTGCCAATCCTGGTATTATGTCATATTAATGAATAAGTGTTTTTAATACGTTTTGTTTGCCGAGACTCCTTCTCCTTTAAGAACTTTTGTACTTTTTCTTTTCATAGAATTGATAATTAATTAGTATAAAAGATAAATACTTATCAAGTTCCCTAGATAGTAAATGATAATATTCATTTAATATTATCTATTAATCAACTTATAAAGCAAATATAAACACGTTTAAGATCTATATGTATTTATTTTTTAAATATCTGAAAATCACATTTGTTCGTTATTTATGATAAATATACGTAAGAATTAATATCGTATAATAAAAATATTGTAACACACACATCTAATTCTACAATTTTGACATAATAAAATTATATAATATTTAACGTCTAAAATTTTCGATGAAACGTTCATGGAGGAGTCCTTGATAATTTAGGTTTAGCTAAAAATGCCTCTTCTTCTTTAGCAAGTTCTGGATCATTTTTCCATGAAGTATTGTTAATTACATTGCTGTTACAGTTATTACTATTCCTATAAATAATGCTATTACTAAATAAATTTATAATAGGTGCAATAAGCAGAAGCATTTTTAACAAATAATAAATACTAATATAATTTATTTAATATCATTTAGTATAAAAATACATAAATTGCTATATAATAGAAACGATAACGTTATACATACAAATAATACAAAGCATATAAATAATACAAAGCACATGCTTCAAAAATAAATATTCAAAAGCTGTAAGAGGTGCACCACAATGATTGCATCAAATATTACTCACAGCGATGCTATACTACTGAATTTTTCTTGAATTTCTGTAAATATCACATTTAAAAATTTTACTAAAATTATAATATATATAGTAAAAAAATTAATTATTTTATTTTTCTCTAATTATTTTTATCTCTTAATGTATATAATATAAATTTACAGGAAAAATGTGTATAAAATTCATAACAAATGACATGATGTATTCTAAACTATCGTTTCAAACGACACGAGGTGTTTTTTAAATAGTAGTTCTAACAATTTTGAAATGTGTCATCTAACTAGTTAATATTTATCTGAGTTTCTATCACTTTCGTTACGTGCTCCAATTTTCCCAAGGTTCTGCGTATATAGGGAAAGTTGTAAAGCTTTCACTGGATGTTTTTTGTGAATTATTCTCTTAATGTGCCAAGTTCGTAATTTTAAAGTCAGTTTCAAACGACAATAGGAATATACTGAATATGCTATTATTCAAACAGTAGTTAATAATGTGATCCATACCTGTTTGGCCATTTTCACGACCGGGTACAAGAATTGTAGAAGATGTCACTGCAGTTTCACTGCTATCCCTGTAAATCGATCTGTTAACTAATGAACTACAGAAATAACTACACATAAAAATTTAATTGCAAGATTAATTACGAAATAAGTTAACGCGACTATATTATATGATATTTCACTTAATTATTTTTGCGTTATGTACGCGCTTAAAAGTTAATATAATATAATATACATATACAATAAATTATAATTCTTTAATTAATTAATAACGCACTTGGAAGTCTGATTTTCATATAAATATATTGTATTGGGTATTGTTCTTCCAGTAAAATTTCGCTTAAAAGATTTCATTGTCTCTAAAGGTAATTTTTCTAATTTTGTTTTTCTGAATTTCCCATCATACAATTTTCCTGTATTAATCTCATCTTCTGATCTACATAACTTTGACTGATATTGTATATTATTATTTATTCTAAACCTTGAATTTATTTCTGTTCTAAATTGGTTATTGTAATCAAATTCATAACGATTGTTCTTTCTGATTGCATTTGCTGGCAAAATTATATTTTTTAATACAGTTATATTTCTCTCTTGTTTTTCATATGGTCGGTTATTATATCTCATAATTAAGGAGGATTCGGTACCGACGAACTTTTTTGCAATGCTTTGAACTTTATGTATAGAAAACGATTTTTTTGTGCCGTTTGTGACAATTTGCTGTTCCTTAAAAGAGTTACCGACATTATCACATAAATAAAAAGATAGAAATTAAGTCAATATCGTGAATCTATTTTGGATATACCTTCAAAAAGAAATTTGACAAATCTGACAGTTTAGCGAAGGTTGCTTGTTTGGTATAACTTTCTTTCGGTAATATTTTATTTTTCATCTTGATATTATACCTACTATATATGTTAATGTTATTATCATATTAAATTAGCAGCTATGCATACGTAATTTCTATATAATGATATGTTAAACATCGTCGAGGCCAATTTGGCCGTTTTCTTTATGTAGAAAGAGTAGCTATAATATTAGGTTTTGTATATAAGTACCTTAACGTAGGATATGATGGATGTTTATTACAGACGTGGTTCTTGTGTTGATTGCCATAAAAATCGATAGAATCCAACGTAGATATTTGCTGTAGAGTCGTATCCGTGTTTACAGCCTCTTGAGAAATTTTCGAAGAAACGCTGTAACACATTGCAAGCAACGTTTCTCCGTTCAATTCGCCAATATAATTTTGCAATGGATCGTTTTCATCTAATTCACTTTCCAACACATCCAAGTCTTCCTATGAAAATGTTGGATGTTCAAATTCATTCGGTATTCGATATCATTGATATTCATACGGTATTTTTGTACTTGCATCTTACTTACGTTATCATCATCTCCGGTCTCGTCATTCTGCGGTGTGTTAACATTTTCACATCTTTGTATCCTCAATACATGATCTAGATGCTTTCTATTGTGCCAAAATTATTATCGTTTAAGAGATAGAAAAAGTTTTATATATATTAACTTTTTAATCGTTTTTACGAATATGAATGTTTTAAACATCAAAGTGAAAGTTTGCAATTTCGATAAAAATATAAGTTATAAATCTACTAAATGAACACATTTATATATATTATTTTATATATATTATTATATTTAATGCGAAAATATTATATATATTTATATAATATTTTAATTATATATATTTAATGCTGTCCTTAGAATTAGAACTTTTATTTTATGTGAATATGTTCTTGACCTTATTTCCGCAGATTTCTGATTATTACCAAGATATTCCGATATATTTGAACGCTTAATTTTTCTTGCTTCCTCATTGATTATGGGATTGTTCAAAAAATTGTTTAGCGCTCCATTGATGTACGGTAGTGACTAATAAATTATACGAAAAATTCCCTTAAAGACATCTTTTGTATTAAATTTTCTAGATAAAATTTTTTTGTTCTGAAATATTTTTATTAAATGCGTAACTTTACTCACAGATGTATGATCTATTGAGAGAAGAACGATTAAGGTAGACATGAGTAATGAAGATATTTTGGACACTCTGGCTTGTGCTAGCCGATGTAACGACAAGTTCATTAAAAGTGCAGTAGCGTATTCGAGCCTATATAAACTTATGATGCGACATTTATCGTGTAGATGATTAATCAACCATTCCAGTAGTCCACTCTCTATCATATATATTCGTTGCTGTCTACGTAAAGATAATTTTTGTAACATCGCCACCATCATGTCACAAGCAAAAGGATCCACTCCATCAGCGTAATTATTGTCGAGACAAGCAAAGGTCTGAATATTGAGGATTGCAATTTTTATTAATGGTATTCAATTTCACGATCATTGTATGATCGTCTCTCTCTTTGGTAATTTTTGATAAATATATTAAAACTCGTTTGGTTTTGATGTTCTAAATTTAAATGATTACAAGAACAGCATGTCCAGTCGACAAAAAGTAATGTAACATCTATATTATAATTTCGTACTTAACAATGAAACTGTTATGTAATATCTGTTATGTGTTATACGATAAGATAATATAGGACAGTATTCATTCAGTCGGAACTTATATTTAAAACCGGCTTAAGTACAGTCTTAAGATGTTGTAAGCTAATCACAGAGCCATATTAGCATCTTGACATTACCTAAGACGGTCTTAAAATAAGAACGAATTATGAATACCGATTATAGGATATTATGTTACTTTTAATTAGTAATTGGGTGATTATGCTGCTAATTTATGTAAAAACATACCACGTTTATGACAGAGGATCCAACCGATAGGTAATCTCTTCCGCATCTGAAGGATGCCAAGGTGTTTAGCAATCGTGCAGTGAATTGTTGCAAAAGATGCCTGGCGTAAGCTTCTCCCGCTGTCAACAGACACGGTAGAATCGATTTGCCGTTGTCGCTAGCAATCTGTCCGTGAAGTCCCAACAAATCACGACTTATATATTCGTGTAGGATTTCGTCCTGTTCTGCTGATTGCACGAGCGTTATTTTCTAAAAATATAGATGTGCTTTTTTTCAAAGATGACTGATACCATCGCGCTATTGTAAGCTATTAATCATCTTAATACCCAACGCAATGCTTGTAACAGCAACAACTTTGTCTTTACATCTCCGTTAATTAGATGTAATTTGATCTTTTTATAATCCAATAATTTGGGAGAAACCGGTACTGTTGTGACATCAAGTTTAGGCAGTGCAATTGTTTTTACGTCAATACGGTCGAGTTGTAACAAGGACGGCTATCGAAAAAGTAGTCATACATTAAAAATAAAACGTTTATAGAAAAGTTTAGAAGAATATACGCTATGAGCTCTTTCTTCTCTCTCCCTTTTTTACTTACATACGAAGTCTCTCTTATATTTTGATTAAACAAATCTGGAAATATCTTCATGCAAATCTCGAGTGTTCGTTGCATATCAATATTTTGCCCTTTCACTGAATTCTCCAATGCCATAGTTAATTCCCCGGCAACATCTATTAGTTTATGATAATCCGCGTGCAACTTGTGAAATCTCACTTTTAGTTTTTCATAATTTGTATGTATACTACACAAATGAGATTTGGTTACTGCTAATTCATGATTATATTGAATCAATCTTTTGTCTGACTTGTGCATTTTCAACAAACTGCTAACACTTTCTTCCGGATTCATTACATCTTCTCGCAAATTATTGATTGTAATTTGACTTCCAGTAATATGCGTTTGTGTACTTCTGTAAATGATAATATACGAATCAGATATTTTTTAATCTTTTTATTAAAATATCAGAGGAAAGACATTTTACTTCGATTTTAAACTTGTTTTATTAGAAAAACTATACTGCTCATCGTCGTGATCTAGAAATATAGGTAGATCTCTATCATTTGGCACAATTGGTATATTATTCTTTATAGTCTGATTTTGTGCAACACCAGATTCCATAGCTATTGTTTTTGTTGCTGGCATGGTTGTATGAACTTGTACTAAATTCTGCAATTGTGTTTTATTGGGATTCATACTGTCTAAATTACTCAAATCCTATAAATTCAATATTATTTATCATTTTTGTACAATATTTTTTGTATTATATATAAATGTACAGTTCAAGTTTGCTTACTTGTCTGTGACGTGTAATAAACGAATCTAGATTTTTTAATAGCTCATCGGCCCAATGTTGTTCTAACACTTTGGAGAAACAAGTATTTGTATATAGATCTTCTATAAACGGTAGTGCATAAAACGGCTGTAATTCTGTATCATATTCTAATTCTTTGCCATCCCCGCCCAAATAATCTTGTAATTGTTTCATGCTGCCATTTATATTTTTTTCAATTTCAATGGCATTGTTCTGTTTATTATTAACAATATTCTTAGACTAATTAAATTATTGGAAGTATTTTATGTATAAAAAAGTATTAATATATAATCAAATATTTTATAATATGAATTATCGCATTAAATTTAAACATTTAAAAATAATAAGAAAATATTTAAGAAAACCACATACACAGAAGACAATTTTTTCATTGAAAAAAATTCAAATTACCTCCTTGTATTTTTCCAAAAGATCATTTTCTATTGAAGACAATTTCAGTGTATTTGTTTCTGATGATAGATCTAATCCATAACACGAATTAACAATGTTATGTAAAACATAAATATAATTATCAAATTATGTATAATACTATACTATTATATATGAATAAAATAATATACCATTTATATTTGTTTTATCATATTCTTTACATCGATTGGTATGTAATTTACGTTTAGGTAGTACAGCAAAGTATACGTGCAAATAAAATGTTAATTTTTTGTATTCTTCACATTGTTTAATACTATCAGAGAACAAGTTACTCCACAACTAGAAAGAAAAAATATACCACAGTATATGTAGGTATTCAATGTTGATCATAAGTATATTTTTACTTGAAAAAACGTCGAATAATCTCCGATATTGTAACATAGCATTAGTTGAACATAGGGATCTGTTACTTCTTTTAATTTATGTTCCAAAGTTTGAAAGCCCATTTTTGAAGCTTCTTGAACTAAAGCTTCAGCAGTACTCTCAAAATTATGATCCAAAAGAAACTGCAAACCATTTTTTTTAATACAAATTAAAAAAATATACAGATCAGTCTAAATATGATAATAAAGTTGTTGCATTAAATGTTAAATATCATTAATTATACCTGATGGATTACTTCGATGTTTTTATCAGCCATTTGATTCTTTGTGGACACAATTCAGTAATTACGTACCTTAATTAATTATGTACCTTGTTCTGTCTAAAAGTATCGTCATTATAAAGAAACCTGCACTGTAAAACTTTACAATCAAATAATTAAATATCAATCTAAGGACTTCCAAATTAAAAAAAAAAAAGAGTTAAAGAGTTTCTAGAGCAAACGAGAATTAAACGAGTTATAAGTGCAGTTATAGTAATTAAGAAGCACATTGAGTCTGTTCTTATTTAGAAATAAATTACACTTTGTAGTTTATTGTAAATAAATTAGTTATTTAGAAATAAATTATTTAGAAATAAATTAGAATTAAAAAAGTCTTAAGCTAGTGCATGAACCAATCAGAGAATTAGTATCTTAAGACATTGCTTGAGATTAAAACCGGACTTCCTATGCATTCTCATTTGCCCTAGAAATTCTTATCTTTATTTCTTTACTATATTAAGTTGTAAATTTGTAATTTTTTGTATATTTTGTGTATAAACAACTTGAATAATCCATTTAATTAATATCAAAATGAAGATACTTAAATCATTTAATTAATAGGTAGCTTAGTTTACTTACTGATATTCAGTTACTCACTGATATTCAGTTATTGTTCAATTTATTCTTGCACACGTAACTCGACAGGTATTTTTCTGACGAACTCATGCCGCGAAGAGCGTGTCAGTTGAGGTGTATTAATCGATTTTATGCAAATACACTATTGATCAGTATACAGCACTCGAGTAACAGCAGCAACGTATATTTCGCAATTGCCGCAGCAAAGCTCCATTTTTTACTATCAAAATTCGCGCTTGTTGAACGTAGACGTCGGAAAACGTTGTCACGATTTCTGTATCACGACGTTTCGACATCCGCGTAATGGAGTTAGTAATTTGCCATCGCCATGTGATCCGCGGAAGAAAACAAACGTTTGACGTTTACGGCTGCGTACCTACGAGACCGAGGAGACTTCTGCTGGTTCTGCTAACTGTCAAGTTTCGTCAATGGCTACGTTTACACCGTACGCTTAGTCCGCGACCTATACGATAGGTGTCTTTGTTTAATATACAGGATAAACAAGGACGTCTATTGTATAGGCCGCGGCCTAAATGCACGGTGTAAACGTAGCCAATCTCCTCGCACGCACGCGCACGTGGCACGCGGTCCTCGACTGTCATAAGTTGTTTACATATCGTTCATCGACACCTATCGATCCGTGATAGTATATTCCATGGAATATAGTTGGTATATTATTACAATTTAGAAAAATTATAAAAATGACGGAAGAACAGAGTTTCCTGTTGCACAACACTATCATCTCAGAGGTTTTCTCTCGTTAGTTAATTCATACATTTAATTCAGAGGTTATATTTCATTAAGAATTCTCTTGCAAATCACAGATACCTAGCACTGCGTATTATATACCGAATTTTATTACTGAGGAAGAAGAGAGACAAATTATAAAATGCATAAACAGTGTACCGCAACCAAAATGGACGCAATTAAGTCACCGCAGATTACAGAATTGGGGTGGTATACCACATCCCAAAGGGATGATAGCGGAAGCGATTCCTGATGTAAGTAGAATGTGAAATATCTTAGTCCAGGTCTACAATGAGTCGGTAGTCTTAGAAGTTAGTTGCTGGCCGACTGTACCGATTCAACGATTTCAACCAATCTTGACTCATTATCTTGACTCTCTTTTAGACTCACTTCTGACTCAACGATTATAATTATCGACTCATTGTAGACCTGGTCTTAGAATTTATTTAGAGATGAAGAAACTGAAAGCCTCTGTATATTTGTTATAAGTATTTTATGTGCGTCATTTACATTTATTAAATGAATGCATTAAACATTCACAATGATATTTTAGTGGCTTCAGAAATATATTGATAAAGTGACAGCTTTGAGTGCCTTCGAAAAAGGAGTATTACCTAATCATGTTTTAATTAACGAATATTTATCTGGGCAAGGAATAATGGTATGTCAGAGATGAAAGACAGGGATACACTATATTGCATATTTTTCTTTATTATAAAGTATAAATTAAACAAACGAATTAAATAAAAAAACAGGGCTGTAGGAATCAGCCCAAAGGTTTTTTTATTTAACTTGTTTGAATTCCGAGAATTCTTTTATACTAATATAAATTATATTTATCTACATTAGAATAGAAAAAATATAAAAGTATGTACACAATAGAGTAGCGTATACTGAATAGTAACATAATGCCTTCACTAGGCACACTCGGATGGTCCACTTTTTTATCCTGTTGTAACTACTATCAGTTGTGGTTCTCATACAGTCCTTGACTTTTACAAACGACTTGAAATGACAGAGGTAGATACTGCAATATGTAATAAAGAAGATTGCTACGTAAAAATGCTATGTAATTGTACTTAATATGATTTATATTATTTTTACAGCAACAACAATGCAAGTTAGAATTTAGTTTACTACTAGAACGCAGAAGTCTGTTAGTTCTACAGAAGGATTTATACCATAATTATTTACATTCTATAGCAGAAAGAGATGTAGATAGCATATCAGAATCTTCGATAAAGAATCTACATATGTGTGCAAAAAAGTTTACAGAAGAGGAAATAATAAAACGTGATATTAGATTGTCTTTAACTATTAGACATGTGCCGAAAACTAGCAAATTGAAATTAAAAATTTTTTGATACGTATGTATATTATTAAAATTTGGAAGACACATAATTATAATAAGCAATGAATGTTGTTGTATGTTATGTTTTATGAATATCGTCCATTCTAATCTATATGAAGTACACTCACTTTATGAATTATCACATGATATTTGCATATTTGTGTTGTCTGTGTCATTCTCAAGGCTGATATCCATTATTTCCTCATCACCCTCGTCCAACATTCCTTGTAGAGAGTGTATGGAGGATATTAAAACGTGGAATTGCTTACGACGCATTTCTAACTTGTGCTCCAACTGTTCTGATTTTTCCTGTATGAAAAATGATTATGAGATGTAACTTTTTGCAAGTATTTCAGTGAGTTTTATATATATATATATAACATACTGGTATTCTTACAAAGGGACAGATAATTAGAACAGGGAATAACAGATTTCAGTCTATTAGAAATTGCGTATTCTAATACATGATTTCTAGTAGATTGAAATCTGTTATTTTCTATTTCTATTACCTGTGCTTTTCAATGCTTCAGTGTCTATAGAGACATTGAAATTATTCCATACGGGAAAAGTTATGTGTCAATATGTATATTTTCAAACCTTTAAAGCGCCTAATTCTTGTTGCAATGTTTCAAGCTTGATATGTGTTTCTAAACGATCTGGTTGTTCATTGATGACTTTGGCTAGTACATCATACTCTATTCTATTTTTTCTCACACGTTTGGCATCTTGCAGTTCAGCTTTAGTTTTCTCAATGTCTTCCTTTGCCTTCTCTATTTGTACTTCAATTTCCTGTGAGAGCTTCTCGTAGCTTTTCAATTCTTCTCGACTCATGTTTGAAACTAATCTAGATTTTTTCTGTGCAAATTCGCATTGCGCTAATTGCGACAGCATTCTTTCATGCAGCGTATTGTCCACATCAGAACTGTTGATCCATTTTATAAACGATTTTAATAGCATATTAATTCTACGATCATCTCCTGTCCCATCACCGTCTATGAGTAGTCGCCGACGTATTACTTCTTCTAAAATTTTTTATAATTAAAAAATTTAGACATTTTACATATATACATTATTCCTGTATAATATATTTTATTGAAAGGAAAATGCATATTTTATTGAAAGAAAAATATATATAACCTTTTATTGCACAAATGCTATTTGTAATTACTTATAGCAATAAATATTGTAAACATATTATTTAAAAAAATGCTACTTACCATCGTTAGACATTGTTAGATATGTATTTGTAACAGTTGTAATTAAGAAAGATTACAATTTTTACTAAAGAGAGGTTTGAGTTCCTTTACTGAAACCAACCGATGCCAACTGAGACTGCAACCAGTGTTGTTAGGCGAGTCACCTTTTGACGCATTCGCGTTTAGACATGGCATCAGTGCTGTATTAATGTCGAACTTATAAAGATCCCGTAAGGCCTCATTTTGACGTATCTATAATTCTATATAGATTATATATTGTATATAATATATTTTTTTGGAAAATCAATAAGGATTATAAAATGAGAAAAATTTCGATAAGTCCGGATCTACAATAGGTGTTTTAAGACTTAAGCCGTAAGAAACTGACCAATTACAGTCGAATCCGAGGGGAATAATCGATTGTGATTCGCCCATTTCTTATGGTTTAAGGCTTAAAACCCTATTGTAGATCCGGGGTTAAAAACCAAAGATATGAGTAAAAGAAGATACAAGTTTAAGGCTAAATGTATTTTCTTCTTAAAATGAATAGTGATGAAATAAATTTCATAACTTCGAGTAAATTATCTCTTCAATTGTAAGGAGACAATAATCATATACTTAAAGTATAAATTAATATTAGATTAAGTACATATAGAAATAAATTAGACAAGGTATAAAAATAAAAAAAAAAATAAAACAAATATTTTTCTTTTTTAACAGAGTCATTAAAGATTTTTAATATCAATTTTTGTTTTAATAATGTAATATTATTAATTCATATTTCAAAAATATAATTATTATATCTTTACCGATAACGAATACTTAAAGAACTAAAATTTATTCTGTGTACGTTACTGGATTTCACTAGCGCTGCAATGCGCATGCGCTAAAAGGTGACTCGCCTAACAACACTGATTGCAACTACTGCAAGTTGCAAGGTTGCAACTGATTGAACTGATTGAAGTGCAGAGTGTAGATCGTGTAGGTGCAAGCGTGAGGTCTGTTCTTTTTAGGTAAAGTTCTTACACGGTTCATCTTTCTTCTCTTTCTCTCCACGTTGAAGAAAAAAAGAGAAAAGATGAACCGTGCAAAAAGTTCAGCTAAAAAGAACAGACTTATAGTGTATCTTAAGCCCAATGTCCACGATGCTAGAAATTGGTCCGAGTTCTCGGATTGAGAAATGTATAGCCAATCAACTTGCCGGTTTTCCGTAAAAACTGTAAGCTGATTGGCTACACATTTCTCGATCCGAGAACTTAGATCGAGTTCTAGCATCGTGGACATTGAGCTTTAGATCGGAATCAGACTACGCATTGAAGATTGAGGTTAAAGATTGAAGATTGAAATTTGATCAATAAGGACAAAGAAATTTTAGCTCCTTTCGTTTCGATTGGTCAAATTTGAATTTTTCAATCTTCAATCTCAATCTTCAATGCGTAGTCTGATTCCGGCCTTAAGTCTGTTCTTTATTGCTGCACTCTGAATCGGTGCAATAAGTCCGGATCTACAATAGGTGTTAAGTCTCCTTGAGCCGTAAGAAATTGACCAATTACAGTCGAATCCGAGGAGAATAATCGACTGTGATTCGCCTATTTCATATGGCTTAATACTTAAAACCCTATTGGGCTGCGTTCGAAAATATTACCCGAGTGCCCTAATGTATCGTTTTATCCTTGTTGTTCACCCAATGTTAAATAAGGATAAGATGATACACGGGGGTACCCGGGTGATATTTCCGAACGCAGCCTTGTAGATTCGGGGTAAGGGCCACTTTTACCAACTCCGATTAATTTAGGCTCAGTTCCACAACTCACGGTTAACTCTTAACCGAGGTTCAACTTGTTTCTTATTTCTTTCCAATTCTAGAATTGGAAAGAGACAATGAATAAGTTGAACCTCGGTTAAGAGTTAACCGTGAGTTGTGGAACTGGGCCTTATGGCCACTTTTACCAACTTCGATTAACTTAATCGGCCGATTAGTCCATTGGAATTGACCAATCGCATTTGTCATTTGTTTAACGACGAATGGCGATTGGCCAATTCCAATGGACTAATCGGTCGATTAAGGGTACGGTCAACGCGGTGCTGCAAACGCTTTGAAGCGTTTTTTAATTGATCAGTTTGTAAAATTCTTTCTTCTAATTGGTCCATCAAACGCTTCAAAGCATTTGTAATGAGATTTTGACCACAGCCTAAGTTAATCGGAATTGGTAAAAGTGGCCCTAAATTGAAGTGAAACAAACGTATATTTGTTTTACTTCAATTTATTGCACTGTGTGTACCAGTTCAGAAAAAATAGACCCGTTATATACCCGGCATATAGATTGCCGTTATTTAAACGAGTTAGATAATTGTACATGAAAATAATAATGCATTTTTTAGACATTGCATCGCAAATGTAGTTCAGGTTTTGCAAATAAATGTGGAATTTTTTTGTTTTTATAATATTATATTTTTTACCTTTTCTTTCTCATTCTCTCTATAACTACATACAGGACGACGATAATACGCCTGCATAGTACGCAATTTGTATTATATTGTATTAAATACACTTTACATTTCGTATCACCATTATTATAAGAAATGGTGTAACACTCGCAAATATATAATATTTCGTCTTCCTCATCACAAAAATATGTCTATCTCTGGTATCTAATACATTAAGATCATTGGTCCCACATGTGGGTTTTCAAATATATAATATTTGCAACATATATTATGACATCTACAACTTAAACATTATACCCTTCTGGTGGTTTTAACATTTCTGTTGATATCTTTTAATTAAAAAGAAGAAAAAAGAAAAAGATAATCTCCGAAAACAGAAGTCATCCTACACTCCGTTCTTAAAGTCAGGTACATCTCAAATAAACCCGGTAGTAGTTATCTCTTTCTCTTTTACGAAATTGTAATTTTTCAATATTATACAAAACGTCATTGTATTCGTTGATACTCTCAGAATTCTTTAACACATCAAATTCATCATTCGGTATACTATACAGTCGGAGACAAAGTTCATTATTATTAAAGCAGAGACTAACGTTGAGTATAAAATATCAATACTATGTTAAACTATGCGTATATTTATTTTTTTCAATGCAATAATTGAAAATTTTTATCATTCAACTGTTATGGTCTTTTGAAAGATGTTTTTTTTCACAAAATATTAATAAATACAAAAATAAGTAGTACATATTATTATATAATAAATATTACATATTATTGTACATTTTCTATTGTATTAATTTTAAAGTAAAAGAATTATTGTGAAATATATTATCTAACATCAATAACAATTTCTCAATGATTGTAAAAAAATATTCCATAATTTAAAGAATTTAATATATGCAAATGAGAGATATATAGTACAAAGATCCTATCAATAAGGTCGGAAATCAAATAATTTGTAATGTTATTTAAAGATTCCATATCGAAACTTTCCCAGATAGCAAAGCGTGTCTCAGCAAAATCACACAAATCTGTAATTGCTTATGATGTTGGCAACTTGCCATCGATTTGCTTCAACGATTTCGAATATACCGACATTGTAGCAACACGCAGGCAACAATGTGTATATGTATTGCCAGCAGTTTAACAACAAGATAACTGCATCAATGTTATCTTGTGTTGTCGGCAATATCAAAGCATTGCATGATGCTGCATATTATTATGGCAACATGATGGCAGTAGTGCGAATTTTGATGATGACGATTTTAAAGATGTCGACAAACTGCTGGCAAGTTGCTACTCAAAGTTATCATATCATGAAGGCATCAAGTTGCCAACAAATGAGGACTCAGTTGCTGCAATTTTGGTAGCAACACATGCTTAGCAATGCATACTTAGCAAGCATGCCAGCAACAAGATAGACACGTTGCTATCTGGGTTATTGATGTGTGTGAAAATATAAATTTTAATTTTTATATTTATATTTTTGACTCTTTGATATGATTCGATTTTTTACTTATTTATAAGTAGGAATATATTTTGATTATAATCATTGATCGATTTCTGTCGTGAATATTGGAAAATTTGTTGCATATTTATTTTGCTTTTGCTATATCGAAGTATAATATTATAAAACTGTAAAAATTGAATGAAATTATTATAATACTTCCCAAAAGAAGATAAATAAATTACTATGTACTGTTTAATGAACGTAACCACGTATTTAAATCTCCGGTAAAATAATCAAGGAACTTTGTCGTTCGTTTTACGAGGAAGATTATTTTTTTTGCATCACGTTTACAGCTTGTATGAAAGGTTGTAAATCGTATCTATATATAAATGCGCTTTGTAAAACTCCTGGAGACTGTGTTACGTCTGAGAGGGTTTTCTGCGTCTACCGAATAGATTGCTCAATACGGAACTGCGTTTGTAATCTTTCCGATTGCCACCCGAGCTTTGCTCACTTTCTGATCCACTCTCTGACGCAGTTTGTGGAGCTGCTGGCGGAGCGACATAAGGCGGCAACGATGTCGGTCTACCAGTGTAAGCATTGTTTTGTTGCTGTATACCCTGTAAAATAATATGAATTATCGTTTAGGCTTATAAACGAAAAATAGTGAGATTTATAGATTTGTAATGACACTGAGAAATCGTTATTATCGTAGCAGCCTTAATTTAAATATAATACATTGAGTTTGAGTAATATTCTAAAATATACATTTTACAAAATAATTAAGAATGTAATAGTGGTTACAGTTTCATAAAGTTCGTAAAGTAAATAAAAATTATATAAAAGTTTTTTCTCTCTTTAATTTTCAAAAAAAGAATTTAATTTATTTAATATGAATTTGAAAAGTAGGAAGTTACCTGTCTAATGTTTGGTACATTCCCATATGCTGTAACAGATAAAAAGTGCAATTAAAACATTTTCATTCCGTTAAATTGAGATCACAAGTTGATGCAACATTTAATTAGAAAATTCTGCTAAAATAATTTTTTGTTATTATACCATAAACAGCTATTTACAGTTGTTATTATCAATTATATAAATTGCAGAGTTAGAAAATCAAAGTGCAGATATATTGGTAAAATGCGACATTAAATTAAAATTTTTGAAGTGTTTACAAACACAAGTAGCGGAAATCTGTTAGTATTAATCTTTTGAAAGATATGACTGTGTTTCAGTTAAAGGATTATATACATATGTAAATATTATAATTGATTCACGTTTGCTTTAACATTTTACATCCCTTGCCAAGCAATTTGCCAGATGCAGAAAAATTTTTGATAAGATGCGGGTGTAGATGAGTGATGAAAATAAAAGTATTATATGTATAAACGCAGAATGAATGCATGCGATTTTCACATCGACCTCCTTTTATCGAATGTGAATGTTTTGTAATGACTGACCAGAATCATGAGGAATATTCCACTGAACCATTCTAGTCGGCGGAGGAGCACTCGATGGCAATGGAGGTGCTAATTCTATAAAATGACGATGAACGTTCACGAATGTCGACGAATATTGAGTAGAATCTTCCTAAACCTTTTGAATCTTTTAACTTAAATTATATGATGACGTACCTTGATGTTGCAGAGGAAGATCTACACTGTTTTGTCGATGCCATACTGGTGGCTCGTTCGATGAATACTGGCTGGAACCATTGTGATTTAATGTTGCACTTCGTTGTTGATAAACATTAGGCCTTCCTTGTGGTAAATGATGTTCTATATCTGTGTACATATGATAGCACACATTTAAACAAACCTTTACATAAAAAAAATACAAAATTATAGATTATAATATATGAATGCTTGGAAAAATTATTGAATACAAGATGTAAATACAACGCAAAATACATTTTGTCTAAAAAGGCATACCATTTCGTCTGTATTGCACCATATTTTCTGAACTGGAACGCAAAGGGATAGGTGGAGGAGCGCCTCGCGGCGGTATAGGCGGTTTGTCGGTTCCCAGCATCGCGGAATTCTGTTGATATTGATCCCGCTGAGCCGCCAGCTGCTCTTGCTGTATTAACTGATGCTGCTGCTGCTGCTGCGCGAGTAGCTGTTGTTGCCTGTGCATCTGCAGAAATTCCGTCTGAGTCTGTGGTTGCTCGGATTTCTGTGACGCCAAGAACGTTTCGGAGTTTTGCACGTCGTTGCGCCGTTGCTGATTGTGCCGATGCATCTGCAGGAACTCTATTTGTACCGAGCTGGGTGAGTGTTGATTTGGCGAAATGGGATCGCGCCTGATCACAGAGTTCTTGCGTTCCATCTCCGGTGTGGAAGCGCGGCTACTTCCGGTCGACGCGTTGTCATCCGCGTGTTCGAGCTTCGAACTCTGTAACCTTTGCAAGCCGTCTTGCTGCATCTGAATTTGAAAAATAAAGGTTTACTTTATAGTTCAAATTTTAGGATATTGAAATGAAGTACAATATATGAAAAATTAAAAGACTAAAAGATTGAATAAATAGTAATATTTCCTAAAAAGAGAGGGTTTATAGAAAATTGTAAAAATATAATGTTTTTATTGCAAACCTTTTGAGACTCATCGTAGCTTAAGAGTTGCATACTCGGTGGTAATTTTGCATGAAATGAGATTTTATTAACCCAGTCTTCCATCTCCCCTTGACTTGGTGCTAAAAACAAGAATTCCGAACCGTCCGTGCATTTCAGTCGAAATACGTTTTTCTTCTTCGTATAATCATCTGCTTTCTCGCATATAGCATTGAAAATTGTTATCGGGGCAGTAGCCGCTTTGCTTAATGCAAAATCATCTGTATCCTTGAAGAAGCATAGCAGTTGTCCGCACAATACTGAAATGATTGTAAAATAAGAATAAGTTTAAAAATAAGGAAACACTTTACAACTATTTAATTTCATGAAAGTACCAGTGTAATACTGCTTCCACGATCGAACGGCTGCCTTTTTGCCAGCACTTTGAAGCTCGTGCTTTCGTTCAAGAAGACCTTGAATCTCGACTGGTCGCAGGTCGTCCATGTTCTCCATTCGTTGTAGTTTTCGGAAGCTTTGCGTTCTTCGCCTGGTCGTGAAGCTCGGAGTTCGTTTTGGTTTTTTCGTATCCACTTTCATACTTTCGGCCCTCTTAATATCCGAAGTTGCTGAAAAAATTTGTGTATGGCATAATCAATAATAAAATCTTCTTATACTGACGGTAAAAGTAAGACGGTGAATAAATATTTTGCAAATCCGATATTTACAATCGAAATCAATCATTGGTATTATCAAAATCAAAATTAAAATCAAAATGAGGAGCAGACTTCCAAAATGCATCTTGTCAAAAATTTCATTTTTTTAGTTAGAGATGGCATAGTGTTCAGTATTGAAAAACTCATATTTTAAGCTACTCTATGATGTTCTAAAAGCATTTTTTTCACAATCAATTTACGTGCTGAAAAAAGTCTAGACATTCAAAGTGCATTATGTCCTTTAACTAGAGATAAAATGCATTTGTTCAACATTATTAGAAATAGTTTAGCAATTTTGTTTAACATTTTACGTTTTACTGATTGGCAAATTGTTATTTTCTGTAAGGCGCGTGGCTTCCTTGTGGCTTTCTTTTTCGTTTCTTGAAAATTATTAATTTTGGACAAAACACATTTTGAAAGTCGCTCCTCAAATATATTCCTACTTATAAAATTATTAATTAAATTCTTTACATAAATATTACGTACCTCGTCTTAATTTTTCGCTAAACATGTGCGATAGACCGTATGGCTTCTGAGGTGTCGGAGGTTCTGTTGTTTCGGAACTGATAGCACCTTTCAGCGGAGATAACCTGATGAACAGGTCAATGATATTTGCGAAAACATTAAATTATTATTTAAAATATAACCAGCTTTGTGTGGAGTTTTAATTTTTACTCACATATTCGCAGATTCATGTTCGTCAACCGAGCCATTAACTTCGTCGTGTTGCGCGCGATGAGAATTGTCTAATAATCGCCTACGTTCCTCTTCACGTTTCCGCTCTTCGGTTATCCTTTGCACCTCTTTACGTTTCCGTTCCTCGATCCTCGCGCGTTCGACACGCTCTTTCTCCGCTTGGCGCGCAGCCATTTCTTCCTCTTGCTGCTTTTGAAAGGCTTCCTCTAGCTATGTGAATATTTATGATATTAAACATTTATATTGTAAGCTTTCAACAATACTAATCAATAATTGTTATCTTCATTTTATTAAACAATAAACTCACCATCGTTATCCGGTTAAGCGCGCTGAATCTTTCCTCCTGTGCCTGTATAGTTTTCTCAAAGTCCTCATGCTTCCTTATCAACTCCTCCACTTGCGAAATGCTCTCTCCCAATTTTTCGTCTTGCAGCATCGGCTCCCTGTTGACTATCCAATTTTCCAGGGTTTCGGCATCCCTCTTGAACAACTGCGTATCCAAATTCTGTTCGTAAATGTGCCTTCTCTTCTGCCATGTGTCCTTTAGGATCTGTTGGCGTTGTTGCAATACCGATATTTTGTCCTCGATCTCTTTCGCCAAGAAATGTCCCTGCTCGATTAGCTCCTGTCCGGTTCGATAGAATTTCTCAAAGGCTTCCTCGCGCGTATCAATCTCTGATTTGTATTCGTTATGCCTGGAAAGCAGCACTTCGGCACCAGGAACGTCCCGTGCTAATTCTGGCGCCGTCACCTTGGCCACCATCTCGTTTATCCAAGATATCAGCTTCCTGTACTCGCCCAAATAGGTCTGCAACTGTTCTGCTTGAGCTAGTTTGCTTCGCCTCTGCGCCGCTTGCTCTAGTAATTCGGCCCAGGCCGCTTCTGCCTCTTGATGTTTCACGTTGATGTGTATACGCGCATCAGGGAACAGCTCAATCAACCTTGATGCTTCCTCCATTAGACTCTCCACTTGTTCCTTCACAGCCGCCAGGTCAGTCTCAAATCCCTGATGTTTCCTTACCAGTGCCTGAATTGTTTCCAAATCTTGGCAATAGCCATCCGAGCTGAGAGCTGCTTCCTTCTCTTGTATCCAGGAGATAGTTTCATCGGCTGTCCTGTCAAACATATGAACCTGTTTGGCGCCCGCCAACGCGTCTTGTCGAGCGTGCGCTAATTCTTTCAAGTCCTCCCATTGTTGTTTTGTTTCGTCAATTTTCTGAAGTATCTTGCTTTTTTCGGGATTGTTCTGCTCGATCAGCCTTTGCCCCTCGTCGAGTACAGCCGATACACGTCCTTCGCTGGTCGTTAAGCCAGCTAGGAAATTATCGAATATCTGAATCAGTAGTTCCACGTGTTCTACGTCACATCCGTAGTCCTCCGATGCGGCGATCTTTAATTATAATATTTAATAATTATATCAATATCAATTTCATAGTATGTTATAAATATAGATTAGTATAATGTATAAAAAGGCAAAATTATGTAATTATTACTTAATTATCTAAACTTACCGTTGTTTGGTCCCCGATCCATTCAATCACTTCATCCGCTTGTCTGATAAATTTATAAAACTTCTCGCTTTCCGATAATCTTTGCAGTCTATATTCTTTCAATTTTTGCAATTCTTTGAATTTAAATTCAATATCCGCTTGTTTTTGTGCGATATTCTTGCTATCAAAATGATGACGTTCGACTAGGCCACGCGAAAGTTTCTTCAGATTATCGACCGTGTTTTCAAAACCGGACAGGTCACGCTCAATACCTTCTAACTTCTTCAGCAGAGACTGCACAGAGTCTTCATCCTTGCCATGATCAGATGAACTAAGTTGTGGATGTTTCTCTCTAATCCATTGCTCAGCTTTTGCAGCTTCGGCATAAAACTATAAAGAGCAAATTTAATTTTTTTTATCGCGTAAATGAAAATGATCAAAGTTATTAAATTATTATATTATTAAAATTATTGAAATTATTTTGACGTTACACTTATTTCATGTAACAATTATTGTAAATTATCAAGAAAATGATAATAATTAATTTTATATATCAATAAAAGTATATTTGATTTCTTACCATTTGTGATTCTACAGCATCGAGTAATCTCAATTTTCTGACACTTGCTAGATCTCTAAGGTGCGATAACTCCTCTTGCAACTTTTTAGTCAACTGTTCAATCTTGTCCGCTGCAAAGTGTCCACTTCTAATCATCACAGTCGCTCTGCTAACCAGTGAAGCTACTACAGGCTCTCTGGACAATAGTTCTGCTTCCAAAGTATGGTGTTTCTTTTGCAATCGTTGTACAGTGGTCAAAGAGCTACCGAGATCGTTGCTCGCGGCTAATGGTTCCTTTTCCGATAACCAATGCAATTCATCTTCGACATCTCTCGCGAATTGATGCAGTAACTTCGCGTCTTCCAAATTATCCCTGCGTATCTGCATCGGCTCCTGAAGACTGTGATATCTGTTGATCGTAACTAACGCTCTCTTTTGAATCTCGTCACTCAAGAAATGATTTGATTTCTGAAAGCTGGCGGCGGTGTCTTTGATAGATTCGCACGCCTCGTTGTGACCGAGCACATCGTTTTCCAAATTAGTGTGCCTTTTCAACAAATTCGCCACGCTCGATAGGTCCTTGCCATGATCCTCTGATTGCAATTGAGTTTCGACTTCATCCATCCATGTCTCGAATTCGTCCAAACTGCGGCCGAATAGCAAGGCTTGATACGCATCATTCAACCGGTTCTTCTTTAGCTCGCTAGTTTCTTGTAAAAGACGCCATTCTGCCTCCAATTCGTCCAAACGTTCCTGTATATCCTTCGAGGCGTAGTGATTTTCCTCGATAAGCGCTTCGCCCTCATTGACGACTGCCGCAACTCTCCCTTTATTTGCCATCAACTCGCTCTCGAATGCAGCGTGTTTCTGTATCTTGCTTTGCAAATTTGAGGAATCTCTATAATTTTCATCGCCCGCCACCTGTTGCTTCTGATGTAGCCAACCGTCCACCTCATATATGTTCCTGAGGAATTGGTGCAAGTGATGACTCTCCAAAAGTTTCTTTCTTCTAGCTGTTGCACTATTTTTCAATTTGTCCCTTCTGGTACAAACCGAAGTAAGTCGCTGCTTTATTATACCTGCATCCGCATGTTCACGCGATAAGATTTCATTTGCGAATTTTTCGAGTTCTTCAATACGTCCTAATTGAGACGCTAACATCTTTTCGAATTCCTCATGCTTACGTAACAGCGTCTCGACGCCCGATAACGATTCACCAAGATCGTCGTTGTTGAGGAATGCTTCTTTCGTCGCCAACCAACTGTCAGCCTGATCGGCTTGCTCTTTGAATAATTGCAATTGATGCGCTTGTGTTAATTTTTGTCTGCGATTATCCCAAGCATTTCCCAAGGTTTGCCTGAGTTCTTCCAAATGTTCAAGATTATCCTTGACGTCATGGTTGATTGACAGGAGTTTATGCCCATGATCTTTTAAACCTTTAAATATATCTTGTCTACCGTCAATCTCTGCCTTCCTTTCTTGATGTAGTTCTAGTACAGCTTGAGCTTCGGATATAGTGGTCGGTGGTTCGGATTCATCCATGCGTTTGATAGTATCTGCCACCCAAATATCCAATTCATGCAGATCAGCTTGGAACTTGTGTAATGTATAGGCTTGATTCAAAGCATCGCGTCGTTGTCGAGTCACACGTTGTAGATCATCCCAGTTAGATTGAAGTTCGGACAATATCCCATTTATTTCGGATGCCTTGTCTGGGTATTTATGCGATAAGTTTCGCGCCTCTATCTTATGTTCCTAAAATGACATATAAAAATGAAAAAATTTGAAATATAAAATCTTCTTAAAATCATATTTAAAACAAAATATGAAGTGCAACTTATTGAATATTAAACTCGAAATTTATTGAAATTCTATTAATATATGAGCGACATATATTAAAGATATTAGCTATTTATATAATAACTGAAAATAATAATCATAAATATAGAGATAGCTAAATTAAATTTCCATTACTATCATTTTATTGAATAAATTTACGATTATTAATTTTGAAATACAAAATTTCTAAAAATTGTGTGTGTGTGATGTCTTCACCTTCAGTTTTCCTTCTATTGCTGTCATGTCTCGCTCCATAGCCTCTTGTTTTCTTTGCAACTGTTCGACAGCAGGTAAATCTTTTCCTGTATCACTCGTGTTCATGGCCACTGATTTCTCAATAACTCTTTGGTTTGTGTCGTCAATATCTCGATTAAATAGATGAATCTCTAATGCACCAGCTAATGTTTCGCGATACGCGCTTAGAGCACCTTGCAAACCTTTCCACTTATTATTAAAGTTATCGCGCCGTTGTTGAATTGCTTTTGATTCATTATCACGACCCTGCAAAAAATATAGTAAAATGACATGAATATTTTTTAATAATGAAATTTTATTTCAATGATATACTTCAATATAATATTTATCTTTTTATGCTAAAAATTTTACCTGTTTTATAAGTTTATCCGCCAAAGCATTGATCGATTTTATTCTAGAATCATCCACTCGCATATCACTGTCTACATCATCGAGTTTCCTCTGAAGACTTAAGCAGTGCTCATAATCCTTTCCAGTATCACCAGCCTGAACCATCATTTCTTTATCTCTGATCCAAGCCTCGATCTTTTCCACCTGATTGTTGAATTCCAAAATATCTTGAGCCTCTTCTAAACCTCTGCCTCGATTTCCAGATTCCAACAACAATTTTCGCCAGGATGCATGTAAATGATCTAATTGCTGACGAATTTCCGCACTCGCTGGATGTTTTCGCGCTAACAAAGTCTCTCCTTTTGCTATTTTGTAAATAAATTTATTATTAATTTTCGAATAACAAAATAATTCAATGAACCGAGCCATAGTTACCTGTTCATCAATCAATTACCTCTAATTTCTTCAATTCTACTCTGATTTGCTGCCAGCTCTGCTTGGAATGCCTGGTGCTTCTGTAACTTTTTGATCTTGTCTTCCAAGCTGGATACTTCGCCTTTGGATGCTTCTGCTTCCAACTTTTTCTGCTTTTCGCCTATCCAAGACTCGGCTTCACCAACGTCTCTAACAAACTGTACATGTAGCAAACTGGCTTCCAATCTTCTTCTTCGCGCATCGCACAGATCACGAATTCTTGCGCGTCTTTGAATGACCTCGTTTAATCGTCGGGCGATCGTCGGTGAGTCAAAATGATTCTGCTCCAGAAGTTTGTTCCCATGCTCTTGCAGCGCCGTCAGCTTCTCTTCGTGGGTGACTAACAGCTTTTCAAATTCGTTGTGTTTTTTCATTTGCGCATCTACTTCTTCGACTGAGACTCCGAAGTTATCGCCGCTCAGTGCAGCTTCCTGAGTACTAGACAAGGTGTCAAGTTGTTTGGCGTCTCTGAGGAAGAAATGCAAATCGATTAGCTGGTCCAAGTGCACTTTCTTTTGCTGCCAAGCGGTGTGTAGCCTCTGTCGCTCATCCAATAGCTGATTACACTTTTCCTCGACCTCCTAAGAAGTATATCGATGTGATTAACAAATACTTGTGCGAATGTTATTATCTATGATAGATAAGTGGCCTGTTTTTTTTGGCTGAACTTTTGCACCAGTTTATCTTTCTTCCTCTTCTTTCCTCCTGGAGAGAAAAGGAAGAAAGATGAACTGGTGCAAAAGTTCAGCCAAAAAGAACAGGCCTAAGATGTCTGTGATGTATAGCCTTACCATAGCGGCGTAATGACCAGTTTGCACCATAGCTTCGCCTAAATCGAGCACTGAGCTAAAGCTGTCCTCTCGTGCTTCAATTTCTCCTTTTAGAGCTTCGTGCTCTGCTTTCAAAATTTGCGCGCTGGCCGCGTCTCGAACCTTTTCCTCCGTCGACATTGTAGCACGAAGTCCAGCTGCCCAGTTCATCAGGTCCCTTACCTAAATGTTTCTCCCGTTAAAAATAATATAAATCATCAAATATAACTGTTCAAAAGTATAACTTAGTACCTGAGTAAGGAATCGTTGCAAATCGCAGCTAGCTTGTAATTGATCCCTTCGATGAGCAGATCTTTCTTTCAATTCCTCCCAATGAGCAACAACGATTTGTTGCTGTTGATCGATGTGCACTGCGTTGTTGCCCGGATAATGTACTTGTAATCTGGACGCATCCTCGACTAACACTTGCAGCTGAGCCTCCAAAGCAACCAAATCATTCTCGAATCCTTCATGTCGTCTAATTAAAGCTAAAACGGAATTTAAGTCACGACCAAGATCCTCTGGCAAAGCAGCCTCTTTCTCTTGTATTCGTGATAGCGCTTCCGCCACGTCGCGATGAAATCGATGAATTTCGCCTGCCGCTTGCAATCGTTGTTCGCGATTTCGGATGAGACCCAATAGATGTTGCCACGATTCTCTACAATAAAAAATTGTATTATATCTTAAAGTTAAATTTTGTTATCTTTTTTGGAATTGTGTAAAATTTTCAAGTAAAAGGTACAATTCAGAGAAATCATTTTATCACTTGTAATACAGTAAATAATTATAGTATTGACAAGTGTGCAAAAATTTGTGAATTAGTTAATACATAATAATTTCTACATTACAATTTTAGAATATTACATGATTTTAGAATTCGAAAATTTTAAAACAGAGTTTTAGAAAGCAGAAGATCCAAGAAAGATTAAAGATTTCGGAAAGAAGATTGCGAAGTCATGAAAAATGAGAAGCGTGAAAAATAGATAAATTTTGAATCATAGCATGACGCTTATTTTTATATAGGGTGTCCCACAATTCGTCGATATATAATAGTTTTTAAATTAATAGTGGTTAAAGTTAACTAATCATAGAGCTAATAACGTTGAAATACTTCACTAATTATATTTAAACATAGAAAATAATTACATATGCAACATACATAACATAAAAATATTACAGGATATTAAAAATAATAAATATATAATTAATTAATTTAAAAACTATTACAGTCTCAATATATTTTGGTATAAGTATTTTTGTCTTATTTTTAAGTCAGGAATATGTTGTTAAAATTTCGATCACGAATTGGGACATCCTGTATATACATGAGTCAGTTCATGTAACCAAGCATGTACTCACTTCATTACCTCCTGTCGATTTTGTACTTGAAGCACCGGATCGTCTTCGTCAGATCTATGTTGAATGCGTATACGAAAAAAAAGTTAATAACCAACACCGACCCAACACCAAGAAAAAATAAGCAGATAATTACAAGAAATATTATGTTACATGATATTAATTTATGTCAAATATGCCATCTTGTTAATTTATTGCATGCAATTAAGTGAGATACTAATATTCTACGAGAGCAATAAAAAAAAGTAATGAAATGAAAATAATGACAAAAAAGTTCTTATTGAATTAGATATTAAAGATTTACCCTAATTGTTCCTGACGTTTTTCGATGTCCTGGATATAAGGACTTTCGTTCGCGATTAGTTTTCTGGCTAATTCTTCGCACTGATTAAACCTCTCGGAGCCAGCCTCTATTCGATGCTTGAAATCATTGAATTTCGCTTGCAATAGCAGCAGATGTTCGTAATCTTGTCCGTAATCCTCCGACGCGGCTGCTTGTTCTTGCTCTTTAATCCATTGTTCCAACTCTCTGCTTTCTAGGAAATATTCATGCCGATACATGCTCTCCATTAAACGTTGCTGTCTTACTGTAGCTAGTCTCTGCAAGGCGCGCATTTGTTGAACAATCGCTTGCTGCTTGTTGGCTATCGCTTTGCTGTCGGGATGCTTTGAGTTGATCATTGTAGAAGCAGTGTGTCCCATTTCTGTCACAATGCCATTGTATGTGTCTAATTCCAACTCAACTGCCTGTAAATTATAAGCCAGATATGAATTTTTAGTAACATGACTAATTATGACATTATAATTAGTGTCATAATTAGTAGCATTAGTTAAATAATAAAGTGAGTTGTTTGACTGATAGTATTTTATTATTCGCAAAATATATACCTTATGTTTTGTCAATAATTTCGTGGCAGCATCGCGATCCCTGCCATAATCGGTAGAACTCAGCACATCGTTTTTCTCATTAAGCCAGCTTTCGACTTCACCGGCTTCGAAAAAGAATTCTTGTGCTCTTAGGGACAAGTCCAATGCTCTGCTGCGCTCTCCTGCTTTGTCTTGTAAATCTCTCCACGCATCATCCAGAACATCGCACAGTTCTTGGATCTAGTAAAATCATTAATGCATCTAATTATTTATTATTATCTAATAGCTCAATGAATAACATTTTCAACATGTTACTCGCGCAAAACAAATACGAATTAATGATTCATTAAGTAGTTAATCGCTGATATCAATAATAATTGACACACTGCCTAGAATTCCGTCGCTGTGGCAAAAGTATCAGTTTTGTGTCTGCATGCAATAACATATATATATATATATATATATACGCCTTCTATCTCGATTCCTGAGACTTATTCTTAAGCAATAGAATAAAGTCAGAAAGCTTGTTGTGCAATTAAAATTAAATTATTAAAATTAATAATAAAATTAAAAAATAAATAATAATTTTTACATTTTTAGTGTAAAATAAGCTGCAAAACAAGTAAGATAATAATAAATAAATATAAAAGATTATATTGTTAAAATACTTATATATAAATTTTCGTATTCCTATAAAAAAAAAAGAATAAACATCCATATAAACGACTCTCGATACATGATTATCAAATCTCTTTGACAAAAAAAGTTACGCATAGATGTATACGGTTTTTTTTATCAAAGAGTGTATATATCTGTGTAACATTTGTTAAAGAATATATATATTTGAAAATAAATTCCTACCGTACAATTTTTATACGTAAAGTTTTACAATACATTGGATATTTTGTAATACGATTTTTAACAGCATATTAAAATCTTTAAGATTTTCATGTATAAAAAGTCGATCATATAATATAAAGATAGTTCACGTAATTTTAGAAACTATGCTACAGAAGTACAGTAACTGTAGTTAACATCTTATAAAAATGATAATAATTAAAATAATTTGTTAATTACGTGATGTCTAACTGGATTGCTAACAATTATTGAAACAGAAAAGCAATAAACATTTGTGACATTTCCCATGCGTTTGTGTGTCTACCTTACCTCCGTAGACGCGGTACCCTTCAAGATGCTCCAGCTGTGCAAAAATCACAAGTTCTTACTCCAGTCTTATATCAGCCAATCATCGTGCGAGAATCCACGAAAAAAAAAATATTATTTGACAAAGAAAAACTTTACCTTTTTCTTCTCCGGATGAACTTGATCAATGAGTGTCTGTCCAGAAGCCAGAGTCTTATCTATCATAGGCTGATGACCAGCAATCTCCGCTTCTAACTTCTTATGTTTCTTGTGCAAAGTTTGGGCCTGATGCAGGTTCTGTCCGAGTGTCGTTGAGGATGCTTGAGGCAAATGGTCCTTGATCCATTGCAATTCTGCGTCCAACTCGAAGCCAAATTTGTGGAAGCGTAGACTCTCCTCCAATGCTTCTCGACGTCGCTTAGCTGGTTCTTTCAGGCTGCGGAATCTATCAAATATAATAAACTTCATGCATCATTTGTATATTAACGATCATCTCGATAACGAATCAATTTGATCATTGAACAATTAGTTTAAAAGAAGGAATGGTAATTGAAGAAAAAATTTTCACGTACTTTTTTTGGGTCGCTTGACTGGTCTTCAGAATATTTGCCGCATCGAAATGACCCTCGTGTGCCATTTCCTGACCCATGGCCACCAGATCGTCCACCTTCTGCTCCCATTGACACATGTCGCTCTCGAGGGTCTGGTGTTTCTTTAGTAATTCCTTGCAACTGCGGAGATCCGTACCTACTTGCTTACTTTGCAAACAGGTCTCTATCTCCTCTAGTTTCAACCTAGCATCTTCCATAGTGCGATTATATCCGTGTTGTGAGGCCGCTTGTCGCAATCTACGGCCTTTTTCCAACGACAATGCTACCAATCGGTCCCATTGATCATTTAGGTCCTTCAAAGTTTTTCCTACATCGTCTGATCGGTAATTTTCTTCTGATATAAGCGCCTTGCCCGCTTTGTTGACTGCTCTTAATTGTCCCTCATTGGCACGCAATTCTCGCTCGAAAGCTTCGTGCTTTTGTAGTTTACGCTCGAGATTGTTTAAATCGCGATAGCTTTCATCGGCCGCGGTTTTCATTTTGTCACCCAACCAATCGCGCAAGTCATCCACTTCGGCTGAGAATTGTTGATAATGCTCAGATGCGTTCAAAGCTGCTCTTCGGCGTTGAGCAGCGTCTTTCACTGCCATCCGACGAGCTAGTACTTGATTTCTTCTTTCGTTAATGCTAGATAAATTAGATTTATGTAGCTAATGTGATATAAAAGTTTCTTAATATTTTGTTTTAAAAACAAATTTTTGTAATAATGATTTCAGTTTAATTTAATTTTATAAGATCTATAATATAATTTTTTTACTCGTATCGATCAATTTGACAAATTCTTCTAATACTTACTAATCTTTTTCGTAATGATTTTGGGCGATTAATTTGTCCGCAGTGTCACTAAATGCTTTTAATCTGTCATCTTGCGCGTGAAGAGTGTTCTCGAATTTTTCATGTTGTTTTAATAGAGCCTCGACGTCATCCAAAGATTCGCCTAAGTCCGTGAATTCGAGGAAAGCTTCGTGAGAACTGGTAGTAGCTTCGATCTGATCGGCTTCTCGATTAAATTGTTGTAATTCTAGACATTGTCGTAGCCATTCTTCTTTCGTTATCCAATTCGCTGTTACCGTTGGATATAATCCATTTAACTTCTCAAGACGTTCGCGTACATCTGTCAATGTTGGATTACGACGTAATAGTTCTCTACCGAGATCTTCAACCTCGCGGAATCTATAAGCATAGAAAAAAGGATAGTTTATAAAAAATTAGATATTTCACTAACAATATTCTTTACTAATTCAATAAGAATATGCTAGTAAAAAATATTTTAATAAACTCATTATTAATAGTAAATTATTTTTATTAATAATATTAAATATAGTATTTTTATTGAATTTCATGAAATGTTTAAATACAAAATTGTTTGTACAATATTAGCAGTTACATACTCATCTTCTTTGGTTCGTATTTCTTCTCCAAGTTCCATGTGCTGTTTCTTAAGTTGCTCGGCAGTAGCAACGTCTCTTACTGATTCTTCGGCCTTCATTATTTCTTGTGTATCTGTGGCCCAATTAATTAAGTTCTTTGAACTGTTTATGAATATCTGTTGACCAACCGCGTCTTCTAAACGAGATCGTCGTTCCTTGGCCTTTGTTTGGACTTGGTTCCACAAATCTTTGATCTCGTTTTGTCTCACATTAACATTGTTACATTCATGTGGATACGAACTCTTAACGCTGTTGCCTAATAAATTTACTTTCCGTACCTATAAAAATAAAATTATATGAAAAAATTAAGAGTTATTTTTTGTTATTTATTATTTGACTCTTTATTTATTAAAAATTCTGAAATTATCTCACTTTTTCTTCAACTGGCGCCAATTCCCGTTCCAAATGCTGATGTCTCCTTTGCAGAGCTTGCACAGTCTTCAAGTCAGGTCCCAACTCGGCCGTATCTAGCTGGGTGATTTTCTCCAGCATCCAATCGTGAGCCTCGTCGCAAGTTCTGTTGAATAACTCAACGCTGGACGCGCCCTCCAAGCTCTTTTCTTTCTGTGTTTTCAGCCAGTTTAGATGATCCCATAGTTGATGAATATGCCTCTGTCTGGTCTTGACTTTATCTAGCTGACTGTGGCCTTGTCGAACAAATTCATCTACCGCTGCGTCTATTGCCTCCACCCGTTTCCCGGAAGCCGATAGATCCGTTAAAAATTTCTCATACTTTCTCCTTGCCGACTCGACGTTGTCGCGAGGATCGTCGACTCTTAACATCTTCTCCTTGTCTTTGATCCACTTTTCAAAGTCGTCGCATTCTCGGTAAAAACCATAAAGCCTGATGGCGTCCTCCAGCAATGCATGACGTTTTACAGCGAGATTTTGTAACTCGCTGTAAGTTTCATTGATTTTTTTCTGTCGCTTTTCCACACTATCACCATCGCTCACCGTCTTTCGCTTAATCGGCTTCACAGTAGACTTAATGGATTTCAATCGTCGAATTGGTACCACCTGTTTCACCATCTTCGTCTTCTTCACGCGCTGTGTCACTTTGATCTTCTCAGGTCTACGTACTTGCACTTGCACAACCTTTGGCTCAATCTCACGCACGTAATTAGCTGGCACAAATCCGTCCGTACCGTCAGCTTTCCTAACGCTCCACCAGTCGGGGTTTGTCTTGTTTAACAGGAACATGACTTCACCCTTCACCATATGCATGCCCTGACCGTTAAACGGATATAAACTCTTCACTTGTGGTACCAGTCTATCCTCATTAATGGTTCGCGGCTCGAGTCGTTCGACTACTTCGTCCACCCACTCGTCTTGCGGCACCAATCTGATCTCCTTGCTCCATTCTTCCTGCTCAAGTTCGGCGACTGGTTCTGGATCGGCAGACAATTCCAGAGTGGAGATGCCAGATTTAATGAGTTTCTCCGCCTGTGTGTTTAAGGACTGTACATCACCTTTGTAGGCGTTTAGCTCACCCTCCAAATCTTTATGCCTTTGCAACAAGGCTTGAGCGCTTGGTTCGTCCACTCCATAATCTTCTGAGGCTACTAGAGCCATTTTCTCGTTCATCCACGAATCCGCCTCGTTCGCATCGGCGTAAAATTGGAACGCTTCAGCTGCATCGTCCAGCTGTTTCTTTCGTAATGCCGCTAGTTCCTCCAAGACTCTCCAGTGTTCCTGCAATGAGTCTATTCGATTCTGTATCTCCAATGCCGATGGGTGATTGTCGGCTATCAGTTTTCTGCCGGCATCGCAAAGTTGCTCGGATTTAGGCCTGCGCACTTTCGTCTCATCTTGCAAGGCTTTATGTTTCTGTTGCAGCGATATTACGGCTCGCAAATCCTTCGCGGAAATGCCAGCCTTACATATTCGCTGTTTCTCTACCAACCACGACTCTTCGTCCTCGTGATCTTGAAGAAAGTGGAAGAAATTTCTGGCGTCCTCTAGACGAGCTTTACGCTCCTTACTGTTTTCCACAAGTTCGTCATAGGCGTGATTTAGTAACTCCAGCTTTTGTTGCAACAATGGTGCCTCCTTATTCTGCGGCTGTGCCAAGTGTTGAGCGGCCTGTCTACCGAGTCGTCTCTGGCTCTCGCCTAGAGCCGTCACCTGCAGTTCCTGCAGGCTGTGTTTTTGCAGCAGATCCTCGACTCCGAGTAAGTGTGGACCCACGTCAGTGCTCTGGAAGTTCAGCTGAAGCTCTTGGATGGAAGCCAACGTTGTATCGATTTCTCTCATTAAGGTCATTAGTGAGCTAAGCGCGACCAGATTGGATTTGTGATTGTCCAGCAAAGCCAGCAATTCTTTCCATCTTTGCAACACCTCTTGCTCTCTGCTGCGTACTCTCTCTAAACCGTGATAATTTTCCCGCACCAATTCTTCGGACATGTTTGTTAAATCGTGGAAACGCTCCTCGCGTGCCAAAATATCGGCGCTGATGGCCTCGTGTTTCTTCACTGTGGCATCTACTTGTGCTAGATTGCTGCCATATCGGGGATCCGTCAGGACTTGAATCATTTCTTTCAAATAACCTTCTCTGAGTACCCTCTTTCTTTCAAACTTATAATTCAATTGCTCGAGCCTCTCTTGTCGCAACAATTCAGTCCTCAGGGCGACTTCACGGCGATGCTCCGCTCTCTCCAACTCTACCCAATTTCTTTCGATGTCGTGGATCAGTTGACCCTCCTGTGGGGTAAACGCTGGCTGATTCAAAGACTTTAATCGGGTATTTATGTGGAAGTATAATGCTTCTATCTCGGACCGTTCCTTGTACTTAGGTGGTTTCTCCACTGTTCGGTATTGCTTGAAGGCTAAGAGTTCCCGTTGAATACCTTCGAGTGAGTTTGGAAAACTGCGATTCTCTAAAACCTCGATTTTCATCTTGATCCATTCCAACAGGTCAGTTGTTAATTTCTCGTAATGAATTTTCATCTTATCAGCGTCCATCATCTGGCCAACAATCTGTGAGTATAAAAAAAGAAAGTCAACTCTGTAGCTGAGATATTTAATTAAATTTTAATTAATTAAATTTTAAAAACTATAAATTCAAGAATCTAAGAATTAATTTAATTAATTAAATTGATTCTTAGATTCTTGAATTTAAAGCTTTTTAAAATATAAAATATTTTAATTATAAAATATAAAATACAATATATATATGTGATTCAAATTTTTAAATTAGAAAATTAAAATATCAAATTTTTCGATTTAATCTTAACGTTATTAATTAAAATGTCAGATTCTTCGATATGATCTTAATGTTATCAGAAAGAAATATAGATTCTCAACATCTTTAGATTTTCAAAATACGGTTTATTTTATATATATCGAATGAGACTTTCAAATAATCGTACATTCGCTATTCTTTTGCCGCTCTTTATTTCGTTCTTCATCCTGGCGAATGTGTGATAATAAGATGCAACATAGGTGATAATGGACTTCTCGTCTGGTCTGGCTGTATCCACGTCCTCTGCGTCCAGTAGCCGTGGTATGCCGAGTTCTGAATTAGCAACGTCAAAGGCATAATTGAGATTATCGATGTTCTTATTTTGCTGTAATTCCGACCAATTGACCAAGTCCGGTCTGTGAGCATGTATGAGAGCGTTGAAACCGAGTCCATTTCTCCAGGAGCCTATTTGTATAATGTTTAAAATATTTAAAATTTTTCTCATGTATATATATATATATATAATATTTAATCTTATATATAAAATATCTAATAATTCTTCTCAATTATCTTATAAATTTTTAATACTTAAAAAAATACGGAGTAAAGTTTATAGCTTGGAAGATTCGCGTGCAGGATTATGCTAAATGTTTTCTCGATTCATAAATATTATAGGATTCCTTTAAATTTCTTTTTGAGACATTCAGATACTTTGAATATTCATGCCGTGTAATTGCATGCAAGACAGAGAACTCGACTCACCGGTAAAGTCCTGGATGTTAACGCCGGGATAGCCATTTGTCTTTCTCTGACACCAGAGTAACAGAGCATCTTTGGCAGACTTCTTCTCGCTGCTATCGTTTTCTTCGTCTACATCGATTTCGATCTCTTGGATTTGGAACCTCAAAATTATGGTCCAGATGAGACCGAGAATCAATCTGGGATTACCATCCACGATATCTTCTGCACCGATACTTTCAAGGCGAACCTGAAACAGAGAATGTAATCTTTGAGATCAGGAAGAGTGTTGAAAAAAATTGAAGCGAATAATGATTTTATGGCACAAAAAATTTTCTGTGCGAAAACATTTTAACATTAGAAAATACCCCAACATTTACGATAACTATCTCGATCATGTTAAACGAACATCAGTACTTAATTAATATTACCTAAATAATACAGATGCTTTTTTCAGAAATCCAGAAAATTATTTCATATACATTTATGTCGTAGGTACAAAACGCTGGCAGAATTTCTTAACTGAATTTTTTTCTTTCTTCGAGAAACTTCTCTCTCATGACATCTTACGCATAGTTTCATGTTTCACTACTTAAGACTTCGTCACTTCAATGTGCTACGCTGTGCAGTGAGATCTCGCAAGTTCTTTCGCGAAACTCATCGATCAGCGAGCGAATAATGCGCCCGTATAATTTATTCGACGTTTACGTGCCGTTCGCATGATTATTTATTCGCATTCCGATCTATTGCACGATCGCGGTGTAGCATTCGACGCAGGTTGCGTAAATGACAGGTTTTAATAACGGATGAGTAATTCATAAAAATAGAAAATGCATGCGACGTAATTGCTATTCTAAGTAATCTAGAATACACTGAAAAAAATGCATGTAATTTTATATGGAAATTACATATATATGATTGGAAAATTATCTAAATTACATAAATATGCTTGGAAATTTATGTAATTGGAAATTGTAAAATTCCAATCATATTTAGGCAATTTTCCAGTCATGAATATGTAATTTCCATGTAAAGTTACATGCATTTGTTTCTATGTAGTAAGGCTACATTGTAACGGTCGTATAAAATATTATCGAAAAAACCGATAGATGCGTTTGTTTATAGCTCTAATTAAACTAATTAAACGCATGCAGCTGATTTTCCTTGAACTTTCATCGATACACCTTTATATTTTATATGCTACAAAATAAAATTAAAAGTTACTGTTTATTAATTTTAGGACGATATCTACAAATGAATGATGGAATCAAAATCTCAAAATGTCAAAATATATAATTAGAGAGGTGTAAATCTTAACGGTGATATGTTTGGTAATTAGTTGTCATTACACGTGATCCAAGAGAAACGAAATCAGTATCAGAGTACAAACATCGGTACTTAATACTAGTCTCTCGTGAAATTCCTGTTAATTTTATTTAAGCCATGGACGCGCAACGGTTATGAAATTTATTTCGGACCATTAATTTCGAGGCGCGTAAAATCCCGTTGAGAGCGTCGACTCGGCGGAAGTAATTATGTGACCGTGCCGTATAATGAATTACAACTGATGCGATTTAATAATTGCATTTTATTCCGCGTGATCGAGGAGCATGCGGAACGGGCGGAGAAATCTTTTTAGCCTCTTTTCTCCGCTCGGCCTGCTTTCATGTTTTACGACTTCGCATCTCGTAATTATACAAAATAATAAAGTTGACCGTTATGTTAAGTCTTCAAAGCGAATTAGGCAGAACAATTATGTCTTTAGTTTTTTTAATACGTAGCAGTTGTTCTCGGTAAAATTCAACTTATCGACATGCAAAGCATTTTGCAATTTGATCGAATAACAATATAGAAATTTTAGATGAAAAACAAGTTGTAAATTATTATACAGAGATATATTTGAATTTAATCTTGACACTGGAAAGAGACTGAAGACACTGGCTCCACAGATGATAATTAATGGCTTGATTATTCAGCTCGTGAATCTCTTAGTCAGTAAAATTATTCTCGCACGCACTACGGCCAGTGGCAACCGATTGCTATGTGTCACTGCATTACGGTTCACTCGAGCATAATAGGGTCTTATTGATAATGCAGCATTTGTTACTTCCAATTGGCAGCAACGGCAATCACGAGTGCCGCGCCGTTATTGATAATCTCTTGTCGATGGTGAAAGTAGAGCGTTAGATCATTGGAAGTCTGATATACTATTATTTGTTTGCCGATCGCTAAAAATTCTGCGATGATTTCAATGTGTTTTTAACGCGTTAACGCTCGCGTAAACTCTGATGATATAATTGTAGGTACCGCACCTATGTATGCATGAGAAACATGTGAAGATCACAGATTATCCTTGTAAATTCTTTCTCCTTGGAGAGTATCGCTTTTTTATAGCAACTGGATACCGTAATGTCATCAGAATCCGCTTGAAGTAAAAGGCAATATTTCTTATAAACAAGTTGTGTTTTTCAATAAATTATATTATATTGTAATTATTGCTTTGGCAACATCTTCGAAATGAAGTTTAATTAGGTGATATACATAAAATTAAAATTTAAGAAACTTTGAAAAAAGATATTTAATGAATTCTTTACCATATAATAAAAAAGATTGGCTCTACATAATGTAATAATAATGATGTACTGTACATAAAAATGTAAAGCTTTTACAATGCATGCATTAGAGGAACTTATTAAAAATTTTATGTTACAGGAACCGCTCGGATTTTTTCTGGAGCAAGTTATCGTTTGATCACTGAAAGAGGTAAGTCGTTCTTACAGAAATCCAATGTAATACTGGAAATTTCTTATTTTAAGTATACTTAGTGCTTTTAATATTCAAAATAAGTAGCAATCACTTCTAGTATTAAATTTCTATAATGGTCAACTTATATTGTAACTCGGTTCTCGACAGTAATTTCGCTCGCTTGACGGTATCAGTCTCGAAGTAGGTATGTATCGACGGGATCGACAGTCTTGGTCTTGCTCGCGCTTCTCGCTATGCTATTATAGTTAATCGCGGCGCACGCCGTCGATAGACGTTTCCCGCTCACGGCGGCTGCTGCTGCTGGAATGCAGTCCGATCACTTGTGCCGGTGGTTCTATCAAGGCCGCTGGGAAATGGAAATTATGGCGTTTGTCAGCCGCGGCGACTGACAGCATGTGGAATCCAAAACAAAGAGAACGCATAGCGTCACCGTTACGCGGCCGTCACCGGCAACGTCTTCGTGGACGAAGTTAATGAGCCGAGTCTGGTCGAGACCGTTGAGTGCTGCTGGATCTCACGTCATCTCGGCCGACCAGACCGGACTTCCTCATCTCCCGCAGGCTTTCATCCAGCCACGTGCTCATCTCAGCTTATTTTGCGGCAACCGATTGCCAGATGTCCGAGCAGGGCGGTTACCACTTCGAGCTTATTATCATTTAACTTAATTTTCTTGTAGCTCAAGCTGTGAAATGTGTGGTGGACTTAATCCGTTGAGTACATTATATTCACGTGTAGGTAAGAAAATAATGCAACAAAAAGGCCGATCCAATTAGTTTAATTAGATTGTCGATGAAAATTCAGCTTCATGTTTTATTTGAGCAAGACGTTAAATTGAGTAAGACGTTATTGCATATTATCGCGGAAGAGAGATTATCATTTGCATTTCTTACGTCATACTTGTCACCTATGCTGCTTCAAGATCAAGTTTTTTAAATATTTATATTTTATGTAATTATATTAATGATAAAGAGAGATATTAATAGTTATATCTCCTTATCATTAAATTTTAATATATATAGCAAAAATTATGTTCTTTTATGTCAAATTGTATTCATCCTTTTTATTAGCTGCTCGATTCCATGTTATCAAGATGAAGAAAGAACACTCTTATAAATGTTGTCTTATTCTTAACGATTACTGTTACTTATGATGAATATACCCCGCGGCTTCTCAAAGATGCATTCGCATGCACTTCCTTCATCGGAAGACAGTCCTCTCGGCGAGACAAATAGCGAACAAGGTACATCAGTTGCGCAGGCGCGCGCGGAATGTCGCAACCGATTTATTGTACTTAAAAAATTCATCCCTTCCGGCGTGATTCATCGCATGTGATAACGGGACAGGACGTACGACTAATGATCTACTTAGGCTAAACCGCGTGGCGAGAACACGGGGGCAAGCGTATTCCCGTCGCTGTCACCGTGCAATTTGCAGCTACCGTGCGCATTATGCACCTTGTCCGTAATAACAGCGAGCGGATAATACATCTACGAGCGGTATCCACTCGATAATGATAGTGCGACGCTCCGGCTAACGATGTGCGACATACGCGCCGACGCCGCCGACCGGTGCAACGATCGGTGCAACGATCGGTAGCCAGCCTAATCAGCTGATCGTGCCTCTCTTCCCTTCCCTTTTCCTCGTCATTAACTTTGGAATTCTAATGCGATGTCAACGATACGCGATATGGCGCGAGCGATACCGGCGTTCAACGGTGCATCGCGAGTTAAAATGCAACTCGAAGCGAAGCGCAACCGCGAGCGACGACGTAAATCTGCGCAGAATGGCTTGAGATGACGCGATTTACGAACAAAATGCGATAGATTGTAAATTGAATTACATGAGAAATGTTCTTATAAAACACGCAATTTCTTACAAAATGCATTTTTATAAAACAAGTCTGGATGAAGATGTGGAATGTATGATAGACTTAAATTCCTAATCCACACACAAACTAAAAGTAATATAACATCATCAGTATTATAGTTTTACACTCAATGATTAATGTAATATAAACCATGATATTTGGTTTAAACAAACAGAATGAGACAGAATCATTACCAGAATATTACCTACAAAAAAAAATCACACAATCCCTCTCTCCTTTATAATTATCTTCTATCCTTACATCCTTCTGTCTGTTCCTCTCCTACATGCCCACCCCTCCCCCTCCATAGTTTTATTTCCCATTATTTTCCAACATTTCTTTACTTTCCTCCTCTGAATGTCAATTTCAAGTTTTATTTCGCCTTTAAAGACTGACAAGAAGTAAGAACGTCGTTTTTCATTCTCGTTGCATTGTCTCTAATAATTTCTGACTGAGAATTCGACAACATAACTTAAGGTACATATTCCTATTTAATTTAGCTGTTACTAAATTTATTTAATTCAATATAATATATCGATATACACTGTACAATTTTAATTTTTATTATTGTGTTCGTCATGTAAATATATTGTATTATATTATTTTTGTCGTTCGCA